CTGCTGAGTGCAGTCTGGTTACTAGGTGTTCGGGAATAAAGGAGTCTACTGCATAATGGTTTTTCATAAAAATGTTTTTTATTGTTTATCATTATGATTACTCAAGTACTGTATAAGCTAAAAAATACCCCCGCCGCAGCAAACCTGCCGACTAAGTGAATTTCCATTTGCCTGAATTGATTTTCAATTAAATGTATTTAATTAACATTAGCTTTAATGAGTACATAGGCTTGCTGCTACAAGGAGGGTAAAAAAGTGTGTTTTTTAGTAAAATATTAATTACTTAGTATCAAATAAATAAATTTACCAAGTTTGGTCAAAAACAAGCAAACTACGACATTTTACAATATTCTCCATAAGAATAACATGGGAATTTTAAAATATATATTTATTTTTTTTTCCGTAACCAATAATTGTACAAAAACACTTTGATATACTAAATCATTTGTTTTTTTAAGCTCTTTAAAAAGGTTTGGAGAGAAATTGGGAAATTTTGTGATTAAAGGGTCAATTAAGAAAATTAGAAAAACCCATTTTTACCCCATAAAACCCCGTTCCCATGGTCCGATCATGCTGGTTCTCAAACTTCAAAATCGGACGAAAATTAACTTAGCCTACACAAGTTATCGTGTTCACGGACATATAATCTATATATACATATATAAAAATGTGAACGAATGGTGTTATTGGACTCTGGGGACATCAAAATGAAAAAGTTAATCGGTTCCGGGCCTAGGGCTTACCATGCCACCTACGCTAATAGATTTTTTCCTATAGGGAAATTCGCCAAAAGAAAAATGCTAGTATTTTTATTCTTGTAGAGGGGTTTTCATGTTTCATAGCAATGCTGGGCTTACCTGAATTAATTTATACAGTAAATTAAAGCTTATATATATTTGTAAAGTATGAACAAGATTTGAAACAAATATCTTGGCTATATTTAGGATAACCAAACAAGAACTATCACTAGGGTGGTCTGCCGTTACACTTTAGACGCATAAATGAGCGAAGCATTATTTGAAGATTAATGGCTAAAGCAGCTAACAACCTACAATATGTTCCCTTTCAACAGATTCACCGTTTGTTTGCCCAATATTATTTAGGTTCTAAAGAATGACAAATTTATCTGATAGTTCATTTATTTAGTTAAGAATAAGAATTGATAAAAGCCTGACCATTTGCTTGTACTTTGTAAATGAGCATAGCGGGATGTACTCGTGCAATCAACATTTGTTCTACAATCGTCAGGTCAGTTCATTCGTTCGGGACACTTGACACATCCATATTATTTAACGCCGTGAATTTAGTTGCATTTGAACGTCAACGCAAACAAATCGGTGATTGGTTTGAACACCAAAAAATTGCTTGAAGCTGTTAGTTGTTGGCGATGACAGTTAGTGCAAATGTAAAATTTTAGTGCATCTAATTCATGTTGGAATTGATTAGCTAACTGCCTATCATTATCAGCTTCTTCCGCTACTGCTTCATCTGGTTCTTCTTGTTCACGACGCCACTCTCTTACAATATTTGCGTTATTGGTGCGTCGACCAATATTACGACGTGGCCTTTGAGGCATGCTCAAAACAAATATAGCAAAACTGTTACTTCCATTGATAAACTGTTACATTCCAACTTTAAGGATGAAAGTAAACATTGAAATGTAAACAAAACAGTTACAAACAATTAACATATGTTTATCTTAATTAAATGAAACGAGATAAACCCATATGTCATAGACCCAATATAATTTTTCTTTCAACTTATATTAAAATAACAAGCGAAATTGCGTGACGCGTAAAATAAAATCCAGAAGGAAATTTGCAAATATTTTTTACCTAAACATTGTGCTCATAATTCTTTAGCTGTTGGCCAAATTTCATATCAATTGGTCAAGCCATTACATTCTGATGCTCTTACAAAGAAGTTACAAAGTGAGGGAAAGTGAGCTTCGCTCAACTAGTTTTATACTTAAACCGTAAAATACAAAATCCCGCAGATTCACCTAATTATTTTATCGAAGTGATAATGCTGCAACGCCTAGGTTTTGCCTGAAGTAATGTGAAAACAATCCTGGGCTTGTGTTTAGCATTTTTTGACAATCAAAATGTAATTGTGTTTTATACATATTAATAATTAATACTAATATTATTGGGAAGATCATATATTGTATTTGTATATCATTGTAGGAATAAATTAATTCACTAAACAGGCCTACACTGGTTGTGAGTTAAACTGTGTTAGTTTAAAATGTTGCTTACTTGCCTATTTTTTTTATACCAGATACAAAATTAATCATTTTGGTTGATTATCCTTAAATTTAATATTGATTCTATTTGTTTTGACTTTTTTCAGAGGGAAAAAACCTGCCACTGTGGACGGTGGGGAAGAAGTTCCACTCAATGGGGATGAAGATCTTGTTGAATAGATAACTTACTCTGTATTATTTAAGTAATCGTAAAATGAGGAATTTTTGAGGGAACTGTTTGTTAAAAGTTAAAGATACGAGGCATTTTCAAATGTGAATGTGTTATGTATATCTTCAATATAAATCTATTTAGACAAATCATCTCTTGTGTTTTATTTTTAATTTCAAAGAATTCTGAATTCTGCGTACTGAATAGTAATAATATGTAAAATTGTAGGGTTGAAAACTATAATAACTCATGTTTTCCTGCTCTTTTATAAAAACAAGTTTTTAGATGATATCTCGCTTTTTTATTTAGAGAAGTGTCTTAGCATGTAACAACTAGAGGCATTGAAGTTATTAAATTATGTTGTGATTGTGAAAAATTATCTGAAATATTGGGAAGGTTATATTGTGCTATGCATCTCAACCTAAAAATATAAAATTTTTATTACATGTAAGACTGTGTAAATCCTGGTAAAAGCATATGAATTAAATTTTCAGAAATAAAAAAAAACTTGTAAGTGGCTAAAAAAGAATTATTTCTTGTATTCTTCAATTAATATTCAAATAAGATGTTTCAATTTTTATTCAAATTAGATATTTCAAGTTTTATTAAAATTGGATCTTTCAAGTTTTATTCAAACTGGAAGAGTGGGAACTTCGACGCATGATTATAACTTGAATCAAGTTTACAAACCCGATCCTTCAAGTTTGCAGATTTGACAAACCAAACTTATTTCAAGCTTGAATCAAGTATTTTTTCAATTTATATTTAGATTAGATAGTTCAAGTGTTATTCAAATTAGATGTTTCAATTTTTATTTAAATTAGATATTTCAAGTTTTATTCAAATTAGATGTTTCAAGTTTTATTCAAACTGGAAGAGCGGGAACTTCGACGCATGATATTAACTTGAATCAAGTTTACGGACCCATCCGAGCAAACTTGATTCAAGTTTGCAGATTTGACAAATCAAACTTGTTTCAAGCTTTAATCAAGTATTTTTTGCTATCTGGGACTGAAGCGAGGAACCGAGTCTAGAAGTGTAACATTGTTTATCGCGGCACACGTGCATGCAGATTCAGCACATTCCAAGGCATATCCGGCCAAGCCACGACGTCTGGTTAGGATTATTGTAGGGTTACAAAGTAATGAAATGAGTTGGAGTATGAGTTTTAAGGTTCACTTGGAGACTTATATGAAGTTAAATAAAATTCAATATTGCTGAATACGGTTGACACATCAACCTAGCAAATATTCGGTGATAGCCAACGGGCCAGGTTTAGGGAGTAAGGCCAACCAGCTTAAGCTCAAAGTTAACAAATTACAACAAAATGAGGCAAATATGCCAGGCCGTCACATAAATGCATTTTCAAATTTTGATCAAAAGATGTTCATAAACAAGCTAACTACAACAGTTTACTTATTCTCCATAAGAATATCATTGGGATTTTAAATTTAAAACGGTTTGAGTTTTCTCCGTAACCATTAGGCGCATAATAATGCTTCAATATACTAAATAATTTGTTATTAAGCTCTACAAAATAGTTTGGAAAGAAATTATTGCAAAATGTTAATTTGTCATTGCTTTTTATGTATCGCCATATTGGCAATGGAAAGGTTAACAAAAGAATCAAAGCATCTGCAGTTTGTTTAGGCAAATTAACGCAGTTTTTTTAATTTCCTCATTTCCGGTGTAAGTTGCTGATACAAATGTACTACAACTCATTTAATATTTCAAAGTGTAACAATGAACAACGTAAATTTGTTATTTGGATTAATCTGTTTTAACACTAAGCTAGCAAGTTAAATGAAAAAACTATGTACACCCCTACTATGTCATTATATATTTCAAATAAATGTATGATTGAAAAAACTTTGATGGATACCATAATCATCCTCTAGCAAAGTTTGGCCTAGGTAGCAAGTTTTAACTACCTTCTTACACGAAAAAAACTGTTAATAAATCATAATACAAGTGCGACAAATAAATGTCAAATTATTTTAAGCCTTCAAACGGCAGAACACATATTATATACACAAGATAGTTGAGATAGCATTGACAAATTTGAAGGAGACTGCAAGCTGCAAGCGCCGTGAATAGAAGTCGTTCGGAGTTAAAAAAAAAGAACGACTCTCATTATACTCAACCGATCTGTTCAGCAAGAGCTGTTCACCTTCAATTTGAATCTCCCGCTCTTTGTCGATCTGTTTTGCTTGTCGACATTTTGCGTGTCGATAAAGTGGGAAAATTTACACAACCGTCCCACATAACAGACATCCCACATAACCGACATCCCACTTTACAGACATCCCACATTACCGACATTTTGAGTTGTCGACAAAGTGGGACTATTTCAGTGTCGATCTTTTGGGATGTCGATAAACTGGGACCCCACGATTTATTTGTCTCCGTCTGTTCATTTTGGTCAAAAATCTGGTCGTCAGATAAAGTCGTCAGCCAGGTCTCTCTTCTCTTCTCTCGTCCGTCACTTGACTTGTCATTTTCTTGAATTTTATTGTGTTGTGTGTGCTGTGTTGTGACTGTAGTTAGTGTGTGAAATTGTCTGCCTTTTGTTTTTGTGTGTGTGATTGTTCGATTGACGATTGTTGTGTTTGCTGACAAGGAGTAAAGGATTATTTTCGTTTTTCCAACTCCAACTGTTGAAAATAATCTAAACGTACTCGTGGTACTACTTACAGCCATAAAGAAAATTTTCATCAGCCTGTTTGGTTAACAATTACAGAAGCTTATGTTATATTAGCCTATAATGTTTACTAGAAAGAAACCAACCCCAAAACCCAAGTCACAATCAAGAGGAGGTCGTAATCTTTCACAGGTTAGGATCTCTCCATATAATATGTTGCCATAAGGTTAATCAGTGCTTTATACATTTAGTAATGTAATAGTTAACCCTAGCTATAAACCATTTTGATAACGGAATAAACTTTTCTCTTTAAATTCTTTAAGTTTATCCTTGTTGTGAACAAATATGTTCAAGTGTATAGCCTAGGCCTAGCCTAATATGCCCAACTTATAGGCCTAACGTTTTTTCAACCAAACAACAAAAATACGTTCTTGTCAAATTGCATTTAGGAAAATATAGGCCTACGGGTAGACTTTCATAAGAAAATTTCTGTTGTCAAAAACAACCAAATGAAAATATTGATCAATATTTTTATTTGATTACCTATTTCATTTGATATATCATTTGGTTTGTTAGGTTAACCTAACCTAACCAAAAAATTTAATGCATCAGATGGATGATAAATCGAACAATCGATTTAACGATAGATTTTTTCATCCGGTCGTTTTTGACAACAGATATGAAAGTCTAAGTTTATCCAATTACAACTTAACCTTCCTTGTGTCATCTAAGTTATCATTTCGGTAAACTTTGATTTTTCAATGGCGACAGTTTCAGGTTTGTTTTGCCTGGTAGGGCTGCACTTTACTTTATGTCCTACACTCATTCAAATGAAAATATGGATCGATATAGGCCTATCGATTATTTGATAAGCTATATCGTTTGGTTAGTTAGGTAAGGTTAACCTAACCTAACTAACCAAACGATATATTGAAAGAAACAATCGAATAATCAATATTTATATTCGAAAGAGTGTAGGACGTAAAGTAAAGTGCAGCCCCTGGTAGGCCTAGGGTATTCAAATAGGATGGAGTAAGGTTATAAATAATCTGGGTGAGAGAAAGTACCTTTTACCATAGACAAATAGGCTACCATAAAGGCATTTTTTTATTTTTATACACAATGATGTGATGGTAAGGATGTTAAGGCGGATGAAGTGTGGTTTGCAATGTTCATACGGGTCCAACCTCAAGATTGTTCTTACGGTCTTTTTCTGTAGAATTAAGTTAGTATTCTGGCTGCACTTTACTTGACGTCCTACACTCATTCGATTGTTTTTTCGATTCGATATTTTCATTCGATTGTTTCATTCGATATATCGTTTGGTTAGTTAGGTTAGGTTAACCTTACCTAACTAACCAAACGATATATCGAATGAAGCAATCGATTAATCGATATACCGATCGATATTTTCATTCGAATGAGTGTAGGACGTCAAGTAAAGTGCAGCCATTATTCTTTTGAGGTTTTTGGCAGTTGTAGAACCCCATGCTGCAATGCCATATCTCAAGTGTGAAGCGAAGATGGAGTGGTAGGCTATCATTGTAGTGTCCAGATCGGTGGTGTTGCGGATTCTACGGAGTACAAAGAGTGTGGTTGACAGTTTTTTATTAAGGTAATCTATATGGATCTGCCAGCTTAGGTTTTCATCAATTAGATTCCCAGGAATTTTGTTGAGTAGGCCGGGCTACCACTTATCTTAATTTTAACTCAAATTAACCTTATTCAAATTGAGGGAATCGATAATTTCAGAAATTTCCGATCTACCTAACTCAAATAAAAAGAGTTAGGCCTATATTTTGAAAATCATTGAAGTTAATAGGCTATTTGTTTACCGGTAGACCGGTGAATTAACAAAAGTGGTACTGTCTCTAACCCTTATTATTTACGGTACCTATTAACCTCTGGAAGATGCTGTCCCTGTTCATCGATGCACATCAGGATCCTTCCCTCAAAGTTTTCCATCACTTCTGTGATAGTTTCCCCTTCAACAGCCGATATAATTTCTTCTTGAATGGCCTCTTTTAGTTAATTTAAGGTTCAGGGTTTTGTTTACATTTACTTCTGATTTTACATAAGTTGTGTAAGTTAACTTTATCAGATTGTCTGCTCCACAATACAGTGCATTTTTGCTTGTTGGCATCTTTGTCTTGGTAATGATAAGTCTCATCATTGAGCACAATGTTGTCATTGGAGTACAAGACGCCCAGTAAGCTATTGTCATAGCCATCTCTAGTATAAGGCTGCAGCGAGCGAAATCTGGCAACGTCGCATCCGAGGCATAGTCCAGTCGGCTCCCGCCATTAGTTTGGACACATAGACACCGGTGATTAACCTGTTTGTTTTACACAGTTAGAGACAATATGGTATTCGTAGTGACAGTGTGTTATGTCTCATAAGTGTGTGATGCCAGGGTGTAAAAATAATCACCCAAAAGCATTAAAAACTGAGAAGTATATACAATTATTTCACTTCCCTCTAGAAGGTCCGCGTAAATATGAGTGGGTTAGAGCTAAAGCCTACATTTAAATTTAATCAAGTACCACATTCTGACTAAGAAAATACACATTTCCTACCTTATTAAAACTAAAGTAAAACATATTGGATAAAAATATAGAACTAAAATTTATTAATAGTAATAGTATGAACTAACTGTTTTTGTACCTCTTATGTATTATCAAAATGAAAAATCAATACACTATTGATACTGATAATTTGAAATATTTTAGATCTAGGCAAGATCTTGCGCAGTTGTGTTTTGTACATTTTAATATTTATGTATTGCACATTACCTATGCATTTAGTCAGAGGTGTAGCAATATTTCTACCTTAGTACAGTTCTGCATGAACATTCAATGACGAAATTTGAAAATATAAAACAGCTTTGCATATTTTAAAATCCACGCTTGAAATTATAATAGGCCTATCATCCATATATACAGTATTAATAGGCAAGCGTGTTTAAAACCTTTTTTTTCTCAGCTTGTGTGCAACGCATAGAAAATATGCGCATACAGTACTATTAGAAAGATATTTTCCTGTAGATGTGCAGAATCCCTTTATAAATGTAAATATAGACTAAAAAAATAAGCATGGGCTGCCATGCTGGTGACGAAATTACAACAATACCCCCGCCGCAGCAAACCTGCAGACTTAGCGAATTTCCATTTGCTTCATTGGATTTACACTAAAATGTCTCCTTAAATATATGATATTTATTCCCTATTTAAATAGAATTAGTTTAACGAGTACTTAGGTTTGCTGAAACAGGGAGGGTAAAAAAGTGTTTTTAATGTAAAATGTTAATAGGTAGGCTACTGTAGTTTAGTAAGAAATTAATGTATTTTCCAAATTTGTTCAAAATATGTTCATAAATAAGCAAACTACAACAGTTGACTTATTCTCCATAAGAATAACATAAGAATTTTAAAATTACAATTTTTTTGAATTTTCTCCGTAACCCTTAGGCGCATAATAACGCTTGAATATACTAAATTATTTGTTTCTTTAAGCTCTACATAATGGTTTGGAAAGTAATTGTGAAATGTTGTGTTTTTAGGGTCAAAAGTGGGAAAAACCTATTTTTACCCCATAAAACCCCCCATAAACCCCCGTTCCCATAGTCCGATCATGGTGGTTCGCAAACTCATTCAAGTTTATCCTGCTTTACATCCAAACCAAATTTCATAAAAATCGGACAACAATTACTCAAGTTATCCCGTTTACAATTCAATTCATCTGAAGGCGAACCTCCAATTAATTTTTAAAATTCCAAACAGGGAAGCTTTTATTTATCCTCATTAACCACAAGACCAAAGCTACCTTAGTAAACCAGTATTTATTCACAAACAATGATATGTTTGCTGCCTTTTCATGTTAAACCACTGGAGTGATTCAAATTATATATTGAAAATGACATCAACAAAAGCAAACAAAGAAGAACAACAAACTGGTTTTTACACAAAAGATATGGTGTAGGGATGCCTATTCTGACACATGGATAAAGTTATTCTGAGTTTGTTTGAATACCGGTATTGCAAAAAGTTGTTTTACATTTGAGCTTTTTAGGGACTTATGTCCCTACAAGCCACTATATATACATATATACAAATTTTAACGAATGGTGTTTTTGGCCTCTGGGGACATCAAATTGAAAAAGTAAATCTGTCCTGGCTCTATACTTACTTACTTGAATACTCGATTCCTTCATCTTTGACCAACAAAAGTTGGATAGACTGCGTCAAAAAAAAAGAGTTAACTTATAAAACACTATAAACATATATATATATACAATTTAATCTGAACTGACGGATGTGACTCGGATTTTTGGAAAGGCGAGTGGTTCGTCAATCAGTTCCTTAATCGAGTACAGGGGCCTACTGACTAGGCTCTGGCGAAGTGCAGACTTGAACTGTTTTGGTTCTAGGGTCCGGATGGTTGTCGGTAGCGTATTGAATAATTTTATCGCTAGAGATGGGTATGAATTAAGCGTGTGGCTAAGTCGACAACGGGGTGCATCCAGGTCATAAGCTCTGCGGGTCCCATAGTTGTGCTGCATGTTTCTGGTTGAGAAGTTGTTTATGTTTTCTCTCAAAAGGACTAGGGTGTTTAACGTATATTGGCTGTAGACTGATAGAATGCCAAGTTCCTTGAAAAGAGGCCTACAGTGGTCGGTAGGGCCGGAGGATGTTATTAGCCTTAACGCCTTCTTCTGAAGCAACAGCACACTCTGGGTCGCGTGGCTATGGCCCCATACCACCAGTCCATAATTTATGTGGCTATGGAATAAAGCATGGTACATTATGACTAGGTAGGGACGTGTGATCTCATGCTTAAGTTTCCTAATCAGATATAATATTCTACTTAGCCTAACACATACTTTCTCCACATGGAGGTTCCAGTTGAGTTTGGAATCGATCCAGAAACCTAGCAGTTTGACCGCCTCGTCTTCGATGCCCTGTTTGAGAGTGCACGTGACGGATTGTGTTTTATCGTCATTGATTTTGAGACGATTCAAAACGAACCATTCCTTGGCTTCCTCCAGCAGAATTGCTGCCTCGGTTCTCAGGTCGTTCAGGTTGCTGTGCCTGGTCAGTAGTGTTGTGTCGTCTGCAAAGAGCAGCGTTCGCCTGTTTAAGGACAGATCATTGATCATTATGACGAACAGGACAGGGCCCAGAATCGATCCTTGGGGCACGCCGTGGTGTATTTGCCTGATACTAGAGGAGGCTCCCTGCAGCGAAACAATTTGTTTCCTGTTTTCCAAGTAGCTGACTAACGATTTGTGGACTACTCCAGTGACGCCATATTTACCAAGCTTGGTAAGAAGGATATCATGAGATACCACGTCGAATGCCTTGCTAAGGTCACAAAGACTAAGATGGAGGGAGTCATTTGATTCAAAGGCATCAGAGATGTTCTTGACTAGGCTAAGGAGTGCAGAGGTTGTGGATCGTCCGGCCCTAAACCCATGTTGGGAATCATTGAACAGGTTGTTGTTCTCGAAATAGGCCACCAGTTGCTGTTTCATTACTGACTCCAGAACCTTAGAGAAAACAGGAAGAATTGATATCGGCCGGAAGTTAGCGGGCTGTGCCGGGTCACCCTTCTTGTAGATAGGGATGGTTTTAGCTATCTTCAGGTTTTCGGGAAAAACACCTTCGGCCAAACAGCTGTTGACTAAATAAGCAAGAGGGGCAGCAATCGATTTAAATACAGATTTAAGAATATGACTAGAAACTCCATTGATGTCTTGACTAAATGAATCCTTAAAATTGTGCACTATCTTAATCAAATCTTTCTCACTCACCTTATTCCAATTTCTAAGGGTGACAGTTGGGGTTAGGTCCGAGAGGTAGTCAACTGAGTTAGGCTGTAACAGAGGTAGATCAGAGATTATATTATCAGCTATACCAGAAAAATAGTCATTAAAGTCGTCGGGTGATGATGATGGAGATGATGATACATGAGTGGATGGTCTGTGTTGATTGATGATGCCCCAAGCGGCTTTACATGAATTTGGAGCATTCAAGATGGTCTGAGCATTGGACATTTTCTTAGCTAACCTAACTTTGGAACTGTAGTCTTTTTTTATTTTAGTATAGAGTGAGAGGTATTTGACTTTCAGTGCAGGGTCAAGGGTCAGTTTGTAATGATCATGGACTAAAACCATCAGTGAACGCAGCTTGCTTAATTCTGGGGTATACCAATTGTTAGGATTACTTACTTTGGTGGATTTAGGTTTTACAGTATGTGGTTTTTTCTTCATTTCTCTAGCTGGAAAGACCAAGTCAAATTGTTCTTGGAAAAGACCAGAAAAAGTCCTAAATGCATCTGAAGCGTCAGGTATTGTGTAGATACTCTCCCAATTTGTGTTCTCTAGCATATTACACAGGGTCGGTACATTATTTAAGTCAAGTTTCCTTTTAATTATCTTGTATGAGTCTAGCCAATGGGGTTCTTTGCTTACCTTGGTTGGTCCCAATGTAAGGACCACGGCTCCATTGTGGTCACCGACATGGGACGGAACAACCTCCGCTTTCAAATCCCAGGAGTCAAAATTGGTAGCGGCTGTGTCCAGACACGCGTCGCCTCTGGTTGGCTCTCTTGTGGCAATATAGAGCCCAAAACTTCGAAAAAGATTCACAAAAGAAGCCTCATCAGGGGAAGGTCTTTCCAAGTGTACATTGAAGTCTCCACACACAATTAATTTACTAGATTTATATTTCGCTAGGTATGTTAGGCACAAGTCCATTTGGTCTAAAAAACTATCTAAATTGCTATCAGGAGATCGGTAAACTGTCATTAATATTGTGTTAATATCAGTTACTTCCACTGCAGTGACTTCAAAGAGCATTTCAATACAAAAATTGTCAAGAGATATCTTGTTACATTTGAAAGAGCTTGCAGCAAAAATGGCTACCCCACCATTCCTATGTACGCTACGTGAAAAAATATTTACAAGGTGAAGGCCACACAAGGTATTGTAAAATTCAGACTCACCAGGTTGAAGCCAGTGTTCCACTACGCATAGAAAGTCACAATTCACTTGTCCAATGAAGTCTGTTAAGAGTTCTATTTTATTTCTCAGGCACTGCACGTTTAACACAGCTACCCTCACCCCCGAAGTCTCTTGGTTTAGCTGTGTGTTAGGCCTGTGGTCACTGTCTACATAGGTTAGGTCTAGGTCTTTAGGGTCCTGTATACAGTTCTTCCTAAAAAAGACCTCTGATTTTGGTTTTGATTCCGAAAACGGCCGGAGGGTAGGAAATGCCTAACTAAGACACCACTAGGCCAGAAAGTTGGGTCCAGAATCAGATTTTCTGTTTCACTAGGAACACCCACTTTAAAAGACTTGTAGGTCGAAAAACGAGTTTTTATTTCCACGCACTCCTTGTCTGCTATGCCTTTAGAGTTCAGGAAGGACAGAACCTCGTCACACGTTGTGTCAGGCGAAACTCTTGAGACAAAAAACTGTGCGCGTTTAGCGGCTGATTTCAGTTTGTTTTTAATTTCACTTGTACCGATTATGATGTTTTGTTTCCACTGGTTGTTGGTTTGACTCAATACGTTAGTCTTCTTTGATGTCTGCGAAGTTTTAGTAGCATCGGAGTATAGTAGTTTTGGTTTGGGTAGCACTGAATCAGTTATCAAACTGCTGGTTGCCGAAACGTTGGGAACGCCATTACAGATATTTTCACATTCAGAAGCAGAAGCAGAAGTGTCGCTTTGGTTTCGTTCCGACTGTTCCGAGTTTGTTTCATTCCGCTGTTCCTTCTTGCTGGATTGAGCGTTTGGAGATGTCACAGCCAAATTGATGTTGTCGACGTTAGGATCCTCCAATGGGGACAGGTGTTTCGTATCGGCTTTGTCATTGGTTGTTTCAAATATCAAATTTTCGGTTAAACTATTTTCAAATAGTATGTCAGCTTTGTCAATTTTGGATAATATTTTGTTTACAACAACTTTGGTTTTTAAGCCTTGATTCACCAAAATATTAATTTTCTTTTCAAGAGCATTTATCGAAAGGTTCACGTTTTCTTTCAGATCAGAAAGCTCACCTTTAAGTTCACTTTCGGTCTTTGTCACAGCCAGATGAGACTTGAGCTTCGTGTTGCAGTCGGCACAAAACCACTTGATAAAAGCTTCAATTTTACGAAGATCATTAAAATTCTTTGCTGAGAGGTTCACACATTTGGCATGATGCCAGCATCCGCAATAACCGTCGCACTGTAGGGTTTTTTCCTCGTCCAAACAACGAATATTGCACACCGGACAAGTAAGCACGTCAGTCACATCTGCCATTACCACTGCCACCTAGGTCTTACCATGCCACCTACGGTAATAGCTTACTTCCTTATAGGGAAATTCGCTAAAATGAACAGAATATTAAAATTTGTATCTATTGAACTGGTTACATTTTCATAGCTTTCAACGTGAATAAGCGCAGTTTTGGCGAAATGTTACCTGTTTTGCGAAATTACCGCTGGCGGCAATAACCGGAGTTGGATCAGGGCGGGGATGAGTCGTGGCGTTGCCATATCGAAGGCCGCGTCCTTATTACTAGAGATGGCTATGCTATTGTTCACAAAACTGTATGCAAAGCTTGTAGGGCATTAAATATAGGTATGTCCATTGTTGAGCTGTGATGGGAATTACACAAGCAATTTAGTCTTACATTACTTGTAATCATGCTTGTAAAGCTTTTCATAATCATTATTTTGTACATGTTATTTAATTCTATACCTAAAATGCGCTCTAACATGAACAAGCTACAACTAAGGCAGTTACAGCTGAGGCACACGGCCTAGTGGAACGTTGTGGACTTTGAAGTATAATCAATGCTCATGCAGTCTTAATGCTTTCTGGATTGACGGCTGTATGTGGATTGTGAACGCCCAGTAGATTTACTGACCCCGTAGTCCTAAATGCAGTGACCCATCGTATGAAGGATCTGCTTTCAGGAATTGGTCAAGTGTCATAGTAAACTGCTGTCAAAACATCCGATGCACAGTAAAAAGAGTCATTGTTAAAAAAAAAGATGCTCCACAGCAAAAATGCGATGCTTGACCGTCAAATGCGTCATTTCTTGGCACTCTGGATACCAGGGAGCTGATGTACTGATGACCGGTGGCCCACTCCCTCACACTACTCAACTCACTCCCTCGACCATGTTTTTGTACTACCCAGTATGTTAATAACAGTTTCCAAATTCAGCTTGTTTCACTATTGTCAAGTTATAATGTGATTATGTTACAGTATGGCCTCTTTGATATTCCTGATGTCAACAACATGGGAGTTGATGGACCAGATGATGATGATGACGATGATGATGATCTTGAGGCAGAACTTATGGCAATCACAGGAGACTCAAAAGCTTCCCATCGACCTAAAAAAGGTTAGAATAATCTCTGTCAGCCTAGGCAAACTTTTGAGAACTTTAATAACCAACTCTATTGTAGGCTATTTATTGAAAACCCATCAAAATCAAACTATGACTATCAATAATTTAAACTTAGCCTATGACATAAGGAAGTGATTAATTTTTTTTGAGAAAATTTGTTTTAGAATTTAGGAACCGCTACAAAGTTGAACACTAACGGTAATCGTATATAATAGCTCAATAATTCCACCAAAGCTTGAGCCAATTTTTACTTTTTTTCATAAAACTCTTTTATTGAAATATATATAAAATTTTCGGTGTAATTTGTTTTGAATTTGTGACTAGTTCCTGATGTAACATCGTAGAACATACTGTTATTAAATTCCTCCTAATGATTACTTGCAGGTCCTACAGGAATCGTTTTACCGACGGCCAACCTTGACTTGATGGTCGCAGCTAGCCTTAGAGATGATCCTTCTGACGAAGACGTCTCTGGAGATGACGACGATCCTGATCTATTGGTAAACTCATACAGTTTATTTGAATACCATAACTTAATTATTCTTTTATTACTGGTTAGAAATTTGTTCTTAATACGTTAATCAAACTTTTTAATCGGCCATTCAGAATAGACCTACCCGCAACTTTATATGGCTAATATTTGACTTTTGACCTTGTGGTCTAGCCTTGCTGGCCTTGGTTATTATAATTTACCTGATGAATTAAGCTTTATTAGCACCGTCAAACTGATTGAACTACAGTAGAACTTCGATAATTCAAACTTCATGGACCAATTACAAATTACGAATTATAACGAATTGCAATAACAAATTATACAAATATTTGAGCTAAACAGTTTTGTTTAAAATGCTTACAACGATAAAACTATTCTGCATAAAACATTTATTGTGAATAACTTTAATTTTGTTTTACAGCATAGTACTAATAAAGTAGTCTACAGTAAATTATTGTAGCCTACTGTTTTACAGTAAAATACCCCTGCCACAGCAAACCTGTCGACTATGCAAATTTCCATTTGTCTGAATTGGTAATAATTATTACCAAATTAAGTGTAAATTAATTGTAATTAATTGTAATTATTACCTGATTTGGTTGGTCTGAATTTATATTAATAGCTTAGTATAAAATAAATAAATTTGCCAAGTATGATCAAAATATATCCATAAACAAGAAAACTACAACATTTTACAATATTCTCCATAAGAATAACATGAGAATTTTAATTAAAAAAATTTTGAATTTTCTCCGTTACCAATAACCGTACAAAACACCTTGATATAGGAAATTATTTGTTTTATAAGCTCTTTTAAAAAGTCCAAAGAGAAATTGGGAAATTTTGGAAAATTTTGGAATTTTGGGAAATTTATGAGGGTCAAAAATGAGATAAAAAATTTTTTACCTCATAAAACGGCGTTCTCATGGTCCGATCATGCTGGTTCGCTAACTAATTCAAGTTTATCCTGCCCTACACCTTTAAACCAATTGTTATCAAAATTGGACAAAAATTACTCAAGTTATCGCGTTTACGGACGTGTATCTTACTGATATTATAAATGTGAAAGTTTGTGTGTTTGTTTGTTTGTTTGTTTGTGTGTTTGAAGGTCAATCACGCATAAACCACTGGATGGATTGGGCTGAAATTTGGCATGATGATAGCTCACATTCCCGATTAACATATAGGCATATTCTTATCTCAAAAATCCCTTCGGGCCCCAGTGGCTCTGTAGTTCCCCATGTTAACCTTATGAGTATTCATATTTAAAGGGAATTAAAGAATTTAGTCAGCTGTTTCAACTAAAAAAGTTGGTTCTATGATATACAAAAGCATTAAAAAGTTATAAGATTTACCAACAGGGTGCAGCACTAAATATTTTTTTGCATTTATGTAAACAGCTAATTTGAACTAAGCAGCAATAAGATTCAATAAGATTCAATAAGATTTATTGCAGCCATTAAACATAACACTTTGTAATAGGCATTGTTACAATAGTACTTAAAAATAGATCATACATCAATTATAAATTTAAATATCCTATTTAGAATCTAAACTAAACATGACATGTCACTATTTAAAAATTCTTCCTGCGTGTAGAATGCTCTTGATTTAAAAAACTCAGTAATTTTTCTTTTAAATTGGTTTAAAGGTAGTTCACGAAAACAAGTGGGTAGCTTCTTGAAGAAAATATGTTGATTGTAAAAATGGCTATTTAAAGTTTTTGAAAGTCTGATTTGAGGTGTGACTAGGTTGTTTTTGTGCCTCGTGTTGTATGGATGAGAATAGCTAGAAAATTTTAAGGGGTTGTTTTTTATATGAATTAAATTACAAAGAATGTACATAGATGGCAGTGTAAGTAAATTTAAATTGGACAAACAACTGTTATACGCAATGAGAACTGTCAAAGTAGGATTGTTTACAGTCATGTTTATGTTTTTAATGTCATGAATAATTTGTGATTTTTTAAATTTGTAATACTTTATTTTTCTTTATTGTTTAGGTGAAGAGGTAGAACATTATGGCTATGGTAGATGTATAATACCATAGTATACCGTAAATTTAAAGAAGCTAATTTTATCAAACTTTGTCCTCCCCCATTGCAAACGCAAAGCTTGAGTATAACTGCAATAAGCAATTTAAACTTATATGCCAACCCCGTACGAAGGACGGGTACTCTGCTAGTATATATACAAACATAAAAATTTAAACGAATGGTGTTTTTGGCCTCTGGGGACATCAAAATGAAAAAGTTAATCGGTCCCGGGCCTAGGTCTTACCGTGCCACCTACGGTAATAGCTACTTCCCTATAGGGAAATTCACTAAAATTGACTATTCTGTTATGTTAAGCAATAGATTTAATGTTTCCCAAAAAGTCAGAATGGAAACATTAGAAAGGAAAACAATAGAAGGGTGGGTGGGGTTGGGCAATGACCTTGAAAGGAGTGCAGGCCACAAACGTGAGCTACGTAGGCCAAAAAGTTGAGTAAAGCAGGGGAAAGGGGTGGGTGCGACGACCTTGAAGCTATATTTAGACTTGCACCACTTCCCAAAAGGGCTGGTGAGGAATTTTGACCGCAAAACAATCAATGATACAAAGTAGTTTTTGTTAATTTGACTTTCGATTATCTTTTTTTTTGCATGGAAACTTCAAATTATCCAAAATATAATTCGAATCAACCATGATTATTAAGCATTAGTTGTGTATGAAATGCTTAAGACCAGGAGAAATATTCAAATCACCAAAGATGTTGAATAATAGAAGTTTGAATTAGCCACATTCCACTGTAGTAGTGATATATAGTAGGGCCTCAATATCTCAAATCTGATGGGGGTATGATAAAAATTTGAGTTATCAAGTTTTAGTAAGTGAGGTTTGAGTCATGAAGGTGCTATACGAAAAAGTTCAAAATCTGAGTGGTTGGGATCTGACAGTGTATGTTCAGCAACTCCCAACAGTCTCTCCAGGTCTTGTGTGTGTTGAAACCTTTATAAATTGAACTCAGACTATTTATAGGTACTGAAGAGTAACTGTGGAAGCAAAATAAAACATTTTTAATGCACATAAAGTACCGGTACTGTATTTATTGTTTAGCAATAATTCTAATTTATTTTAAACGTAAGTTCACTGGAACTTTTAAAAACAAAGTAAACAACATAAAAACTGTATAAGCTCTATACATCCAAATACAGTACTACAATACGAATAATGAAAAACTGCTGTGAAAAATACTAAGCAACAATTAATTGTTTATGGATGAACAGTACTGTATTTATCATAATGTTTGGTGTTATTGAGGTTAAACATAAGTCCTGTTAACGTTTTGTAACATTGTGTAGGCCTAGTGTATGGAACAAGTTAATGAATAAGTTTGATAGAGTACAATAAAAAACCTACTAAATAGGCCTAAAAACAAAAAAAATACTGTAGCCAAACGGACACAGGAAGTTGGATTTTCATGTCTAGACAGGAATCAAACCACAACTGACTTGCACTGTAAGGCAAAACTTTGAATTATTGAGGCACATTCGTGCGAACTTTGACTAATAAAATTAAACTTCGAGATACTGAGGCTCAATGACAGGAAAATTCGAGTTACAGAGATAGAATATTACTGATCAAAAATTGTAAAAATTCGACTTATTGAGGTTTAAATATTTAGAAACTTTGACTTATAAAGGTATTTTTAATATTATGATTAATGTGAATTTCAAGACAATTAAAAAAAAAACAAGACATTAAGGAATTTGAGATTCGAGTAATTGAGGTTCTACTGTATTTAGTTACAAAAATTACAAGACTAGGCCTACTGTTAGTGTCAAAGTTTGAATCCTCCCCACAGATAGTGCCATTGACTTTAGAATACTATATTAGAAATCCCATCAATATGTACTAGCTGTAGCCGATATGCTATTAAAATTAAATATAAGCTAGTTGAATGATGAGTCACACAGAGTGTGCTGTTGTCATAATTAATTTTTCTTCTTTACTTTTTGATACCGTACTGTAAAATATTTTGTGTCATGCGACTCAAAAGATGCTATAGCCTAAATTACAAAATAACTCCATGGGGTGTATTTATTTTTAGACTTGATAGTTGTTCCATGTGTAGGATGAGCTGTGTGCTATCACAGGGGATGACGGGGGTGGTAGACTAGAGGCCCCACCTCCCTCTGCCCCCTCCAATGGTGTACAGGTGGGAGAGTTGAGGGAGAGGCTGCAGATGTACCAGGAGGCGGAGACCAACGCTAAATCTGCGGGGGAGTCTGCAAGAGCTAGGAGGTGAGTCGGAGATCCAAACATTCCAAATCTATTTTAGGCCTACTTACTAACCTTATCTTATCATCTATTTCATTCCATGTCCTAAACATCAGGATAAGATAGTCATAATCAGAAAGAGTATTGTAGTAATAATCTGATGCTGAAATATCAAAGCTAAAACAAATTTTAACATGTTTAGCCTCTGGATTACGTAATTTACTAATAAAAAGGTTAAAAACCTGTAGTACTTGTCAGTGATCCTGGATTTAGGTCAGCGACCCAGGTTTAGAACCTAAAGGTTCATTTTCAAGCTGATACCATAGTTAAAACGGATTACAAACACACAAATCCTCTTCATAATTGTGAAGAGTCGTTAACACACGAAGCACGAACATGACTCATCTTATGCCGGCTACACCACGCTTGCTACCATACCAGTATTATTAATTGGCCAATTTTGTTTAATGTTTAGTGTTTTGTGTTCGTGTTTCGTGTGTTAATGACTCTTCACAATTATGAAGAGGATTTGTGTGTTTGGAATGCGTTTTAACTATGGTATCAGCTTGAAAATGAACGTTTAGGTTCAAAACCTGGGTCGCTGACCTAAATTCAGGATCACTGACAAGTACTACAGGTATTTAACCTTTTTATTAGTAAAACAAATTGTTTTTACAGCAACACTTTGACCATGGAGAAAGCTAGTACCTATTGACAAATATTTTCATTTTATAATGTTCAGTTTAGCAAATTACCCTTATCCTACCTCAGTGGACATCACAACCTAAGAAGGGTTTTCCCTCTTTGCCTCACAAACAATTGGCCTCCATTCTCTTCTATCTTCTGTTTCTCCTATTGTTGTCTCCAGTCTGGCCATCGCCAGACTTCTTTAATTGCTCTTACTATCATTTTGTCAAGTGGACATCTACCTCATGGTACTCCTTGAATATACATTTGCCAATTGTTGAATTTTCTTCCCTCTACATATGACCTGTCAATCTTATTCTTCTACACTTTGAAAATTAGGATCTGGATGTTTATAGTTTTTTATTAAATCTTGTTTTTGCCCTCCAGCCCTCCTTACTTGAATTGGTTAGAAAACAAACTGATGGTTGTGCTACATCTGGCTTTATTTTAACTTTAAGGTGTAGCTTTATTTACTGGAAAAATCTGACTTAATTTGGGATGGGACTATTACTTTTGCTTTATAATGCTGGCTAACTGGTTAACTCAACTCAAATCCTTGATTTTTTCCCCAACTTTATTATAGTTTCTCCCTTGTTCAATACTTTAGTTTCATGCAGAGCTTTTTTATACTCTAATTCCTGTATTTCCTCATTTGCCTGATTGAGATCCTCATTCACACTCAAAAGTGTTCATCTACTTTTAAGAAGTTTTGCTCATCCTCCATCAGTACCGGTAGCTTGGGACATTATGAGTACTAGACGTTATAGTATATTTTTCAATCCTTATTTCTTATTGTACAGATTTTCAAGAGGGATAAAAACCTTGAATGATCTAATCAAGCAAGCGTCAGCAGGACACACAATCAGTGAGGATGACATTCCACCACCTGTTGCTGTCAAAATAACAGCACCAAAGACTGCACCTGTCTTAACACCCACAGGTTGGTTCAATTATTGATTTCAAAAGTGTTTGTTATTTCATAAACTTTTTTTTGTCTATAGCTACAGTTAAAATGTTTGTCTGACTTTTAGTAGAGGGAGCTCTGTAACGTTCTTGGATGAGGGAAATGTGTGTTTTGAACCACCGGGTCAATACATTATCTCATAGCTAAAAGCTGATGGGTGACAACATTTCTGATCTCTAGCCTACGCTAGACCAGCCACACTCCATTAATTTATTTTTTACCTTTGATGCTTAATCAAATTCAAGCGAACGTTTGTTCCTTTTCTTAGGTTGCACACTTGCCTTTTATTTAACGAGTCTATGAGCAATAGACGTGATAGTTGTGTGACAGTGCATATTTTTTATTTTGATTATGCATATCAGTGTCTATCCTAAATGCTAGATATGTCAATTAGGAATTACCCTTGATAACAATTCATATTTGATCATCCCCATAAGAGACTTGTTTTCAAGGCTGTACTGTAGAAGAAAATTGGAAATGCCAATACAGACAAAACTCCTTTATACTCATGTCTTGTTAATAGTTTTTTACCAATTGAATTCTTTTTATTATTTCTTTTTCTTCCAATACCAATCCAAAGCTGGACAACGAATACATTTTTATCCACCAACAATTGTGTTGCAGAGTGGACATATATTCTGCACTGACACCCCTCACACACATCTCTGTAGACTTATTGTTATTGTGTAATTATACTATAAAATAAAATGGGGTATAAACAAATCCCGCTGCAGTAATGGCGGGAAGTTTAAACTTGTTCAAATCTACCCTTTCTCCCCTACCCTTAACACTGCTTTGTTGCTCCATGATTCCTACTGTCTTTATTCATTTCTCTGATAACTAGTCATTTGTAGCCTACAAAATCTTTCTGTTAGCAAGTTTATCTGATGTGTCATCTACTGATAGTATATTTTAGAAATATTTTTACATAATAATTGTTTACTAAAAAATAAAAATTTTAATTTTATTTCTAATTAATAAAAGTTTCCTACTATGAACACAATTTCAAATTAATCGAAATCAAGTTTGTCAAAGACATTTTCCTGTTGTTTTCAGAAGAGCCGACTTCCCCTTTGAGACCTGCACCTCCTCCACCCATCCCTCCACGAGGGGTGACTGGAGGGGTGGCTCTGCCGGGACTGGCCAATCAGACATCTCTGCCAGAGACCCCTTCATCCCCTCCACCTCAGGTGCGGAAACATTACGTAGACTGTTCAAACATATTTGGACCACAGAAATTCACACTGTTTAAAAGAATATTGAATATTTATTTTGTAAACTGACTGAAGTAGGTAATTACAGGGTTGGTACGGTCAGGGAAAACCTGGAAAACCTGGAAATGTCAGGGAATTTTGTTGGTCTGGAAAAGTCAGGGAAAAGTCAGGGAATTTTGGAAAAAATCTGGAATTTCTCTTAAAAGACTACATTTTTTACAGATATGCTACATTTTGCATCTACGTCTCAATACTTGGTCAAAAACATCGAAGTTTGACGAAAACATTGATGTAACAAAAACATCGGGAACCTACCATCGATATAAAAAACATCGAACATCGGCAGACATTCTATCATCACCCTCTGATTACTGGCTTTAATTAAACGCACCGAGCTCCCAGTGTTTCTACACAACCAAGAGAATATAATCCCGGTCACTGGGTTAAGAAATCGCGTTTAATTCCTTAAGATGTTTGATTTTAAATTCTGAGTGTTAAATTAGACATATTGTGTTTAAATAGTTGTTTTAACATTAATTTTTTAGGTTTATTAGATTATTAAGGTAATTTTTTCGATTGGGGTTAGTTTTTCACTAAAATAAAGCATAGTAAATAAATACGGACGTCATAGCCAAAACTCCGGTTTTATCCCACATCCCCTTCAAATCCTGCTCATGCTCTAAAAATTCTGTTTTCGGGATAATAATCCCACGAATGGAAACACGGCTTGTACCGCGATGCGCGGAAGGATAGGTCTACATTCATCGTTTCAATTTCAATACGATACTGAATACAATTCCTCATTGAATTTAATACCAATACTGATTCAACCTTTGATAAACTAAAAAACACTGCACTTGTAGGAGTTTATAAAAAAAATGTTATTCTGTTAGTTGAAACATTTATTAGTTTAGTTTGGTATAGTGATGTGTCAAAACCAAATCTCAAATCTCAAAACCATCAAAACTTTGGAAAAGTTTCGGTTTCGAGATTCGATAGGCAAGTTTCGATACTCAAAAGTTTCTAAATAGGAAGTTTTGGCACTTATATTTTTGAAAATGATGACATTTTTGTGTCATTATTATTGTTTATACAGACAAGCTGGTAGCAATGGAGCAAACACATCCCCATTACTGTCACTAATGAAACAAGTAAATTTAGACATTGTCATTTAGGCCTATTCTGAACTGCAAAAGGCATCTTAAATACTGGAACAACTTACAATTCAGTTTCATATCGATATTTATTAAACATTAAGAAATATTGACTACTAAATGTTCTAATTAATGTAATATTCATGTTTATTTCAATGTCAAGAGTTTCATTTATTTTAATGTTAGTTGTTTATATTTATAAAAAAATATGTTATTTTGGGTTTGAAGTTTATTTGTCACATATTTATGTTCTTGTGTCTGGATCAGGAGTCAATCTCTTTCAGTTTTGATCGCATAATCATAATGAAAATTTTTTCATTAGGCCCTACCGTACCTGTATTTTTGTTTTTTAGCAACCTAGACCAGGTGACTAAAAAGTTTTGTGTTCAAGTTTTGAGATTCGAGATTTGGGATTCGATTTTTTAAGTTTCGGTTTTGGTTTCGAGCCGTCATTTTTTAATTTGAACTTGATAGTGATTTTTTCAATATTTATTTTATTCAAGATTTAATTAGTATTTAATATTTATTTCAAAATCGTGTCTCACAGTGTGTATTTTGAGGCAAAGATTCAAAATTTCACAGAATAAGATGAAAAAAAAAACTTTCCCAGGACCAAGCTGGTAATCTTCTGATAAATAGGTGTGCACCTAGCTATCCAGCAACCTTTACATAGATTCAAAAAATAATGTAGACTTAAAATTTCTCCTTCAGGTTTCTTCTGACGAGCCCAGTCCTGTCAGTCCGTCACCTGGATCGGAAGTTCCCAGTTCACCCAAGAAGCTGTGTCCGCAACCTGAAGAACCAGCGGCTACTACTGATAACATTGATAACAGTGAGACATTGTGTCTACTAACAACCAGGAGGGACGAGTACAAAAGAGCTGCGCTTGTGGCTAAGAAGTCTGGAGACACCAAAACTGCCATAAACTACATTAAAATTGCCAAGGTATCAAATCAAATAGGCCTAAGATAAAATAAAAATCCTTTCTTCATATTTTAATTGAATTCAATTTATTCATCACAACATTCACAATACAGAGGCTGAAGATCAGCAATAAATACGTGAAATGTCAGTACATATCATGCATTATAAATAATTTACACAAATAACAAATATACAGAGTGCTCAAAAAAGGTGGGGACATAACTTACGTAGTGATTCCTTGGGTCAAAAAAAGGAGAAAATCAAGAATAACATTTTTCCAAAATCGCTTTCTTACTTAACTAAATATCCGCCATTTTGTACATTTTTAGGCTATCTTTGAATTTTTCAACCGATCTTTATGAAACTTGGTATGAATGTTAAGATAGAAGAGACCCATATTAGAAATCAAATTCATCTAGATTCCACTTAAAATTTCAAAATGGCAGCGATTTTAATTTTTTAAACTTAAATTACAAAATAAAATGGCTGGTTTTATGAAAAAATTTCAAGAACACTTTTATTTAGCATTTTTTATTTCCTAAACGATACCAAGTTCAAAAAGATCGAATAAGAAATATCTGAAATATTACGATTTTTAGTAGGTAAAATGGGGTAGAATAACAGAGTTGCCGCCAGCTATGAAAACCTTGAATTATGCTATTAACCTAATTGTTCTGGTGTTTATTTTGGTTCTATTTGGTTGTTTTTAGCAATTTGACTCAGTCATATCGGGGTTGGAGGCAGGACAACCAGTAGACTTGAGTGCTATGCCCCCTCCCCCCTCTGCAAGCTTTCCTCCACCATCACAGCCAATCACAGAGCAGCCGCGGACAGAATCCGAGAACCAGATGTCTGCAGACACTCCCGGTGTTGCTGCTCCGGAAAATGACCCAGGAATGGATGAACCTCAAGGTCAGTAATGATAGCTGAGACATGTGTGTATGAACAAGACAACATCTGTACAGAAATATTAATGCTATATACAAAGAAAATTCAATTTGTAAAAAATATTTTTAGGTCTGAAGTTGTTTTTTTTTTAAGTTTATCATTCCTTTTAGACAGAAACACTACTTTGGTAGGTATTTTAAGCTTAAAATGGAAGATGAATGTAGAGTAATTACTTTAGATACTGAAGTAGACATTCCATCTATTCTGACCAACTGTGACCGACGCCTCAGTCTACAACTTTATTTTCTCCCTTGTTAATAGTTAATATAACTGAGATTGTTGATGTGGCTTGAAGATGCTAGAGCTTACAATGAGTTGTCCTTTCACTTGGTAAGAAAATTGGCGTATTCAACAGAAATCAGCAATTCACAAAAGTCCATTTAAATTATCCCACAACCCTAACATTTGGATGGAATGTTAAGTTGATCTGTGTAGCTTTGTTACTAAAAACAGCTGTTTCTTTTTAACCAGGACCATTTGAACTATTAAAAACCTGCCGACTTTAAAACTGTCCAACCTTCTCTTGTGCAATAAACATACATACCGTACATACGCATCCTCTTCTGCATCGGTTATTCTAGGTTCTCTCCAACTAGACCTCTCCACAGTTCCTCATCCTCCAAATGTCTCTTCACCACAACAATCCACCTAGGTCTTCCTCTCTGCCTCTTCCCCTCTATCATCAACACTGAGAAAATGATTTTTTTCTCATATTTATAAACCATTTTAATCCAATCCCTATCTTAAATCAGTGTTATCCCTCTTTAGCTGTCTTATCTACCCCTCGATGATCTCTTTATTCCTGTTCCACCTTGTTTTACTCTCAATATCCCCTTAAAATTGTTGCAGAGTATGTTGTTGAAATGCCAGCTACAGTAATGGAAGCTTTAGAACAAAGGCTAGCAAAGTACAAGAGTCAAGAAGAGGCAGCCAAAGCTGAGGGGAACGCAAGTAAAGCTCGGAGAATGGGAAGGATTGTCAAGCAATACAATGATGCTATAAAACTGTGCAAGGCGGGCAAGCCAATACCTGTCGATGAACTGCCTACGCCTCCTGGTATGTCGAAGAATAAATTGTGTAAAAAGTTATTTTATCCATAAATGTTTGGCTGTGTTCGTTATATTCATTCTTATTCTTACGCCTGCAGAAAAGGTGATCAAGACATTTCCTGAGTGTAAAATTTCAAATTTAAGAAACTTGATTTTGACACAGAGCCTTGTAGAAACCAATCAGTTTAAACTTAAATTCCGGTTTAACTTATTCACAAAAAACATTAAATGACATGCAAAAATTGTCTAGCATTCAATAACTTTGAAGTCAAGGAGTTTTATTTCAACCGTTCCATTCTAGATTTGCAGATGCTGATAAATTTGATCCTAAGTAGGCCTATAAATGGAGGGGTTATTCAAAACCATGTCGCGGGCTGGATTGACTAGTATTTTGCTCATCTCTGGTTCAAGACATGTTTGCCGTTTTTATTTACTTTTCTAATAATGAATTTGTTACAGGTTTTCCCCCGATACCAGTGCCCGGGAGTGCTAAACCTCCTCCATCCCCTCTACCAGCTGTGAAACCCCAGGTTCCTACCCCTGCCTTGTCTGTTACCCCCACTCCTGCTCTGGTCTCTCCATCTACATCCGCTGGAGAACCTTCGCCCCAACCATCTACGAGCTCACCCGATAAAACAAATGGCAAGTACTAATACAAATGACAGAAAATATATATGTTGAAATGCAGAAGCATTAAATATATGGAGTGTTATAGCATTTGTTTTATTTTGATCTGCAGTAATTATTTCTCAGTTGTGAGGCGCCTTTAATGACTGGCTCATTTGGATGGTTTTTTGGTTGATAATTTATTTTAGTCACTGATTTAAGCCTCAGCACTAGTATATGAAAAATTAGTGTTGCCAACAGTAACCTACTTACTACACATCATATTATCAATCAATCAATCAAATCACTTTATTTGTCCTTGTACATGTCATTACAAGAAATGGCGTCAAATATAAAATTAAAAAACAATACAATTATAAATTAAAAAAAAAAAACTACCACTACTGCTTCATAATTTTGTTGTATTCATAAAATTCCTCTATTGAGTAAATGGGTTTGTTGATCAAATATATTTTCAATTTACATTTTAGTTTGTTATTGTTTTTTTCTGATCTTAGTTTATTCGGAAGTGCTTTAAAGAATTTATTGCCAATGTATGTCGTCTTTTTTTTTTATTCCAATCTATGTTTTTCAAAATGTTTTTCGGTCTGTCTTCTTGTATTATATTGATGACCTTTTGGTTGTACATAAGTTTTTGTTATAAAAAATAAGATACATTCAAAAATATACAGACCATACACAGTTAAAATTTTAAGATTTTTGAAGTGTTCTCTTGCGGAGTCATCATCTTCAAGTTTGAGCATACATCTAATTGCTTTTTTCCGTAGGTTTAGAATTGTATTCAGATTATTTATTGTTGTTGCACCATACAAGCCAATTCCATAAGAATTTTTTTTTTTTTTTTTTTGTCCTAGGACGCTAGGCACGAGCCTGGGATTGTTTTCCACATTACTTCAGGCTAGACCTAGGGGTTGCGGCATTATCACTTAGATAAAATCCATTGGTGAATTGGCGGGGATCGAACCCGGGACCTCAGGGACTGAAGTCCCACGCTCTAACCACTACACCAGCTCGCTCCCCGTATTCCATAAGAAATATTAGAGTGAATCAGAGCAAAATATATTTGTTTTAGTACAGGCAATGAGCATAGGCTGGCCATACGCCTTAAGGCGAATAAACCGGAGTTAATTTTTCTTGATATATGTTCGTCATGTTTGTGATTCATTACATATTGTGATTGCGATATTTTTAAGATAGCTGACCTCATATAGCCAGGTGTTGCAACAGACGTTCTTGAAGGTACTTAGTCTAAAAGACTTAAGTCTGTGCATCCAATCAATCAATCATTGCGTTTACATGTTGAGGGTTTTGGAATTTGGGGAAATCTTTCTGAGCCATTGTGGTAATACTCGAGAAACCATTCCTCACTCGCCTACGGCTCGTGAGTAAGCATTTCTCTCGAGTGAGTCAATTGCTCACTTTTCTCACTAGTTGCACAAATAACTATTATAAAGCATTTTTTCACTCTTCCTGTAACAATTAAAAACACACTTACTTCATTTTCACAATCCACAGTTAATTAGGTACAGAAAAGGTAACCATCAGCTTGGATTCTGGGGAACAAATCAAGGCTTCAGAAAACATAAAATTTCTTGTTTTGTATATGAATGAACATTTAAAATGGACAGAACATCAATTTCATTTCAGGTGACTAAATCGTTAGCCAAAGCTTTGTTTGGATTAAGGGTCATCTTCAAAACAACGGGACTAAATGCTGCTTTGACTGTTTACCATTCCTATTTTATGTCCAGGGCTTGCTATGGCATTATTTCTTGGGGCAGCTCTCCGATCATAGATGGGTTTTTTATTCTTCAATAAAAGGCCATATGAGTTTTAACTGACACTGCACCTTGTACTTCTTGTCGTCCTGTGTTTGTACATTTGAAACTATTAACAATTCATGTTGTGTATATATATCAACTATGTATATTTGCTAAAAAACACTTGACCTCATTCTCATCAAAAAATCACCAACATCCATATAACACTCGACTTAGAAACACTCTTCAGTTCCCTATCCATAGAACAGTTATTTATGAGAAAGCTCCTTTTTATATGGGTAGGAAGCTATTCAACCACCTCCCTAACCAAATCAAATCGACAGAAAAGATGGATATTTTTAAAAAACTACTTAGGAAACATTTGGAACTACTTTGTCCTTATTCAGTTGATGAATTTTTTTTGTAACTAACGTCACTCTTTTTGTTATATTTTAATCTTCTGATCTTATTTTTTAATATATTACTAACTACAATGAAATAAAATATATAATATCGTGTATTTTGTTGTGAAAAACTGACGTGTCATATGTTTACTGGTGATGTATCACAATTATGTAAATTCTATGTGACAAATAAACATTTCATTTCATTAAGAGCCATTTTAGCTATTCTTATATGTAAAAACAACAATATGTTCTGTAATCCGAACTATTCAATAATCCGAACTACCCCCGGTCCCAATTCGTTCGGATTAAAGAGGTTCTACTGTAACTTATTATTAGTCATATCCTGTGGAGATAAGCGTATGTTTCAGTTCTCATCGCCCAGTGTGGGAGCGGAATGCCGAGATTCCTAGAAAGCGGCGGTTAAACTGTACTGCTTTCAAGGCAAGGTCGGTTAAAACAAACTGTATTATTTTACGATTGAAGGCGGATAATCCGATTATCGGTTAATACGAGGTCGGTTAAGAGGGGGGTCTACTGTATTAGACAAATTATGTTTTCCAAAAATTTGAATGAAAAAACCTGTCACTAACTAAAATTTTAGTCCCGAGCATCCAAAGGTTTATTTAAAATTGTTCTCCAGTGCGCAAGATGGGAGGGTCTCATCAGGAGCGACAGTTACAACAGTTGCTGGAGAAGCAGAAACAGTTCAAGTTGGCTGCAGTGCAGGCGAAGAAGAAGGGGGAAGTGAACCAAGCCAAGGAATACCTGAGGTTGGCCAAGGGATTTGACAAGCTGATAGAAGCCTCCAACTGTGGTCTGCCCGTCGACATGGCTACGGTCAGTAAACATTGTCTTGTCTCTAGAACCTCTCTTAATAACCCTGAAGTCTATATGAGCCATAAAAACATATCAGGAACTTAAATTATATCAAGGAGTTTGTTTGTAAGAACATCTGTCTGTTTGTAAGTACCTTCTGGAATGGCTCAGTGGAAGTTGATGGTGAGTATGGGTGGATTGATTCTAAGGGGATAGGGAGGGAATACGTAGTAGGCATATTAATAACTAAGTGATCTCTGGAATTCATAAAGTTAAAGCGTCCACTAGAAGTGCTTAATGGTCTTATAAAAAAATCCACTTTCAATTTTGAAAAACATCAACACCATGGTCTCAAAACCTTTTTGTTGATCTAGGTACCGGTGCCACCAACGGCTAAAGTAGCGTTGGAGTCGGACTTTGACATAGTGACTGCTGATGATTGTGGACCATCATCCCCCGGATCTCCTGGGTCTGAGGATGACATCCTGGAGAAACTGGAGAGAGACTTGATAGACCAGATGAAGGTAAACACACTTTTTTATCATGTCAAGAATAGATATTTAATTTTAGTCTACATCAGTACATCACAGTCTGTCTAATACAAACATCCAGCTAATCCAAACTACCTGTTGGAGAAAAAGTTACTTTATTAAAAAAAAACTAAGATGATAATATACATATTAGGAGACCAGAATGGTCGTTGTTGTGTAGTAAGAAGGATTTCTAATTCCTTTGTAAAGACCTCTATACTAAGAGGTTAAGACAACATGTTATGGGTTTAAATTTAGATATACTGTAACAGGTATTGACTGGTTTGATCCTGAGAAAAGTCAGTAGCTTTTTGATGGTTCGAAACTGGACCCAGCTATTCCTGATCATTGGGCTTTAAATAAATGATCCTGGCTAATAAAACAGCTGATCTTGGTCAGTAACAAAGCTACACAGATCATCTCACAACATTCTACACTCATCCTTCACTCATATTTGGGTAAAAATACACATCTAGGTGGCGTCCCCATCTCAGTGATTGATAATTGATAATTGTTTTGTTAACATTTTTGTTGGCTGTTGCCGCGATAGTGGTAAATAAATCACATCCCCATATTCGCGGAAGACAATCACTGTGTTGTCGTGATCGCAGGTGCAATATATGGCCATTTAAAGTCTTAAAACACATTTTCTAAATATATTTTTACAGAATTTTTATCTAATCCAAACAGGGTCCGGTTCTAATTAAATTGCATTAGTGGGACTTAATGTATAATGTAAAAACTAGATGTGAGTACAAAATATGGTGGAGAACATATTGGGCCGCATGGTTTGATTTGAAGTAGGCCTACCTGGTCAAGATACATAAATGCAATGAAAGGAAAACTTATATAGGCTAACTGTATTACTTACTAACACTCCCCCTTCTACATTGTGTCTTAAAAGTGGAGATGAAATAATTGTTAATGAGTTACCTACTATTTGTTATACAATGTTTATTTATTAATTAACAGAAGTCAATGGAGACTCGGAACCATTTCAAGGCTATCGGAGATGTTGCTAGTGCCAACAGGTTTGAGCAGCAAGCACTTTACTCTAAGAAGGATTTGGACGTAGTGCGAGTGACGAGGAAACATAAACATCCCGTGCCACGCTTCCACTACGAGACTAGGAGCTTCTCTATAGTCCAGTAAGTTCCTTGAGTATTGTTCGTCAGTCATTTTTATATGAAAGGATTATTTTCAAAGCTTAAAAAGTTCCATTGTGGTTTTGTAAACAAAAAGATGTAACAAACAGTGTTTCTATAGCTTCTGGAAAGTCCTCAATATTTCAAACTGATGCTAAAAATATCCCAAAAACCCCACAGAATTTTAAAATTAGTTCATAATTTTTAAGTAATAAATTGTGGAACCACGAGACTTTTTCAAGGTGAATGTGTAAAGTTATTCTTATTAAGAGTTTCAGCAATATAAGTGAGGGAGTTGTTCTGTGATTTAGTTTCATTCAACTTTGATGAGCAAACCAAGGCCAGCATTTTGTTAGCTAGATGCCATCAGTGAGTCTTGCTGTAATATGTAGATATTTTATTACACTTAACAGGGACAAGCTACTTATACCTTTTGACCTTATGTAACACCCTTAATTCAGTCCATCAGCCTTAGGCTGTTAGCAGATCTTAACAGCTGTAGGATTTCCATTTCATTAAAATGGCTCTAACTGAGATATACAAGGCTTTCTATTTATATTTTAATTAGCTCACTATGACATTAATTAAAATACTGAAATAGACTGTAGGTCCAATAAATGACAAAATTTTTCACAAACCTGTAAAATTGTTTCTTATCTTACATTTCCTTTTGTAGTCAATAGTTTTAGAGTGTATAGCAATGTGTTTGCCAGTGATTCTTTGTTTTCCAAGTACGTATTACTGTGACAACATGATATTATGGTATCATGTTAACGAGGGAAGGTTTAAAAAATTAATTGTGTTCAACATACCCATTATAGTTTTGTGAATACTGACCCACTTTTAATTGTGTGCCTCATAAAATTAATACCAAGAATAATATGATATGCTTGGTATAATATGATGGCAAGAAATAATTTGCAACATCAAATTTTATGTTAGTTTTTTAATGTTTCCTTTCCTTTTTCACCAGGTGCAACACAGATCTAGGAGACAACGATTTAGAGTTGACAGTCGCCCAAGGCATCAACTATAATGTCCCTAACCCCAAGGAAGTGGACACTTACGTCAGATTTGAGTTTCCATGGCCTACTGTAAGTGTTTGTAGTGACAGTTGTAATTGAATCTATATGCAGTAAATAAATTGTATCCGGCCGGCGAAGGCCTACTGAGAGATAATAATTTTATATTATACTAGCTGGCCCGACAGACGTCGTCCTGTCCTAATGTGTTTTAATGTCAAATGCCCGTTCATTTTCAAGATGAGCTCGTTCGCATGGCTCAATCACGTCCTGGTTGAAGTCCGTTCGCTACGCTCACTCACCTTTAGGTTGGAGCTCGTTCGCACAGATGATACACAGATGATCGTCAAAGTCGCGGCAACTTGTTTGTGTATCTTGCGGTCTCGGCGATACCGTGATCGTCACTCGCGATTGCTGCAACAACCGTAAGTATTTCCGGTATTGGCGATACCAAGATCGTCAGCGATTGCAGCAACACTCATGAGCATATCGTGTGGTCTCGGCAATACCGTAATATCGTAAAAGGTTTGGTGTTGTGTTAACCAGTGTTCTCACCAGCCATACTTAAAAACTACCATTACAGAACAAGTATCATAATAAATGTACAGTAAACAAAATATTAACTTTGTTTTAGAATCCAAATAATCTTGAGCTTACTAATGTTATGTCAAATTATAAATATGAGAAACACAATTTATGTACCCATAAAAAATTATGTGTCCTAGGTCTATTATTGTTTTGATTGGTCACAACATTGTTCTCAAAAAGTACAAAATATTAGTTAGTCTACAAGTAATAAATTAGTATCTAAAAAACCATCAAGAAAATGTAAAATTTCACTGCTGAGCTATTAATTAGAAAACTACCTTGTTTTGGGTTTTAAAAGGGGGCTATCTTTCTGCACTGAAATATTAACGGTCTGGCCTTCCTTTCCTCCAAAAATTGACAATGCGGCCCATGTGTAAAAAAGGTTGGGACCCCCTGTTTTAGAGTATAGCTGTTGCTTCTTTTTTAACTGAAAAAAATCCAGGGTTTTTAAAGATCCAGATTCGTAATGTTTTTACTCAAGAAAATTGATTCTGTCAATAATCCAAATTTTACACAGGAGGAGCCGTGGAGAGATAAGACTGCTACTGTGTACAATACCAACAACCCGGTGTACAACGAGAAGTTCACAATTCCTATCCAGAGGAACGTCAGAGCTTGTCAGAGAGTGTTCAAGAGACAGGCGGTCAAGTGTGAAATCTGGTCCAAAGGGTGAGTGAGATTGTCTACAAGTATCATGCTTATAGTTGACTTTAGAGTTTAGTTGATTGGTGTAACTAAACCTTATATAAAACACGTGAAAACAACAAAAGCAGGCTTTGGATTTTACAGTTAGAGGATAATATGTCTACAGTAGAGCATCAATTATCTAATGCCAGGCTTCGTCCAGAGTACTGATAATCCTGTTAACCAATCGAGATTTGATTCTAGTGTCATAATTTAAAGGAACTGTACCTTAATGCTTTGCTGTAATACACACAATGATTAAACTCTTGTATTAATAGCATAGGAGTATCCAACTTTTTTTATTCAATGTACATTGTCAATTTTTTTCGGAAGGGCAGCCCAGAAACATTAAAGGTTAGCCTCCCAATAAATCCACAAAGTCGGTTTCTAATAAGTAATTAAAAGCTCAATGGTGGTTTTTTAGATTTTCTTGCTTATTTTTCAGATGATATTTCTGCACACACTGATTTTTCTGACAAAGCTGTGATGAAACAAAACAATATAGACCTACAACACATACAATCTTTTCTTTACTATATAATAGTATAATATGCAACATTTGTCATATTTATAATTTGACTTAACATAAGTAGACTTATGATAGTTAGAATACAAGGGGGTAACTAAAGTACTCACGGGTGTTACCTTGATCACTGGAGAAAAAAATCGGTGTATTCCTTTAAATAAGATTAATTTTTTTGAGGATGAAACCTGTTTGCAGGCCGAGTGTGGCCATCAGGCTGTAGGCCGGAGACTTCTGAAATAACACATACAGTTGATTCCCCTTAAATCTCAAAATATCCAAGATACAAAGACAATCACAAGAACAGCAAACATCATGTTAACTGCACAAAATAGATTAGCAATGCTTTATATTGGCAGGAGAGATGGTGTGCGTTCCAAACAGCAAAAACTTGATTACTAAGCTAATAGCATAGCTCGTGGGAAATTAAATAATTGAAAACTCACATGGGATATATACAAATGTTTTTCTATATCTAAACAGAAGTTCCGATAACTGATATTTGGTTTGTTGATGCTCTACTGTTCTTCGATTATATATTAGAAAAACACTGCAATTATGAAATATTAATCAAAAGTAGAGAATTCGAGCACGTATTTTAGTGATCCCTTGTATTCCTTTGCCAGGTGTTCGCTGTGGTTTTGCCATGCTGGGTGTTGCTCGTCTTTTACAAGTTGTTTTTCTGCCTGCCGGTAGGACTCTTTACTTTTTGTTGTAATTGTTGGCTTGTTGGTTACCTCTTCTTGCTTACTTCTGGGAATTTGTGTATAGGCTACTTAATGTTGTTTGTGCACTCAATGTTTTTATCTAGGTGTTTACTTTAAAATCCTAAGGGCTCTACAGACACACAAACACAAAATATAAGCAGTTGAGTCAAAAGTACAAAAGTAATATTTTGGCTATTTCTGTTGTAAATCATGTCCAAAGAAAATGACACCAACATCTATGTGGGTATTATTGTTGTCCTTATTACTTACGTAAGCTTTGCAATCCAGCTGAGTTAAAACTGAGCAGAACACTCTTATTTACAAGATCTAATTCCAGATCCTTTCAATGTGGGTGGATGGAAATCAATTTTTGTTTTAGCGAATTGCCGTATTGGGAAGATTACCGCATGTGGTACAGAAATACCTAGACCCGAAACAATTTCCTTATTTATGTACATGATAACTCAAGTAATATTGGTTTGATTTTCATGAAATTTGGCATGGAAATGTAGGGCTGGACACACTTGAACGAGTTTGCGAACCAGAAGAATCAGAATGGGGTGTTATGGGATTTTAAAGTTTTCAAAAATTAGTTTTATTTATTAAACATAAAACTGCTCAATTTTTATTGAAACCACCCTGTCCCTTAAATAAATAGAAATTGCCTTAACAGTTTCTTAACCTTTTCTACAGTGCTTAGTGTTTAACTATCTACTTATTATTTATTCATGTTGAAGCCTTCTGGAGTTGGTAATCAATTAATAACAGGTTACGTACCTTGACGTCCACAATTCCTCAGTCAAACTTCCGTTGACTAGTTTGGACTACTAAGTAGTCATTATCGAAACGTTAAAATATTCCATTCATTGAATGGAATATTTTAACTTAACTGTCATTATGACTACTTAGTAGTCGAAACTAGTCAATGGAAGTTCGACTGAGGAATTGTAGACGTCAAGGTATGTAACCTGATATAATTATTTATTATTGGTATTACTTAGTAATAGAATTCCTCAGTAACAAATTGTCCCTCGTGGCAGTTCCCTACTGATTGCCAACCAAAGATTGAGGCCTAAAAAGGCGAGTTTTAGGTTAAAAAAATTAAAACCTACGCGATTTTGAAACTAAAAAATATTTTGTGGTAACTACTTTGCTGCAAATAGTTTATTGCTACTTCAAACTGTTAATTGAATTTCAATGGTTTCAAAGTGATATTAATTTTAAAAGTGAATGAAAAGTGAATGATTGCACTATCTAAATATAAAGCTAAATATAAAGCCCTGTTTTGTTTTTATTTGAGTCCTGGATATTTTTTGACTTATATATGAACAAAATAATCTAAATAAAAAATAAATATATGTCACAAAAATGATAAAGATTACAGTAGTAAAATTATGAGAGGTGCAGCTCACAAAGGACTCTTATTTCCGGTTAACTTCCTCCAAACTCTGCCATTGGCATTGGCAGGTTGAAATTCGAACCCTTAATCTACGGTACTGCTCGGTCATTTATCAAACATGATGGTTTATAGCACTTACAACACTGGCCACTTGGCTTTATATAAATTCAAATGTATTATAAAATTGAAATCTTACTACACATTGTAGTCTGCTGTATAACAAAGAATAATATGACATGAAATTTTACAAGTTTGTTGAAACCTAATTATGAATATTGTTATATGCAGTAGGTGATATGACTGCAATACGGATGCAAGGTCTGTTCAAAAAGTATATGACCTTGTTGGGAAAAGTATAACTTTTTGATGGATTTGTTTCAAAATGTGATCTCCTTGAAAATAGTTCCATTGGGACTTAACACACTATTTTAGCACTCCTGCTACGTTAAAAACAAGCCTGGAACTCTTCCTTCATAATAGACTTAAGACGAGCTGTCACATTTTGCATTATCTAATTTCTGCTCTGAAATCTGGTCCCTTTAAGGGTAGGGACCATCTAGAAGTCACATGGTGCCATATCCAGTGAGTAAGGGGCCTGGTGTAGCTCAGGAATGCCATGTTTTGCTAAGAAGCCTTGAACGAGATTGGAAGAATGTGCTGGAGCATTCTCCTGATGAAGTCACCAAAAGTTTGTGGTCTTGTTGAATCTTTGACTTGTTGATGGTCTACCAGAACAAGGTTCACTATCCACCGAAGTTTGGCCATCTTTGAATCTGTTGTACCACTCTTTTATCTTTGTTACACCCATTGTGTCTTCTTAAAAGGCTTTCTGAACCTTAAGAATCGTTTGACCTTGGAAATCCCCGTTTTAGGCAAAATTGAATGCATTACGCCGTTTCACCCGTTCTGTCATTTTGCTTAGCTCAAAAACATGACGAACACTATATACACAGTGTCACGTTTGGTGTCCTAATCTGATGCTAATGTCAAGGTCACGTTACATGCTTTACAGTTGCCTCAATCTACGCGTCTGGGTGCAACTCAACGCGGTTGTTGGATTACTAGATAAGAAGTAAGGTAGTATACTTTTTTAACAGACCTTGTAAACTCATAAGAGACCATTGCCATTGGATCGTTTGACAATGTTTATGGTCAATGCAATGCCTTAAAATGGTTAGATGAAGCAAAGAAGTTGTGGCTGCGGGAAAGTTTGTCTTGTGTAGGTGAAGGACTATAACCCTACATATAATAGCCTTTTCATTGGTGATCACTCTGAGAGTGAAGATTTTTAAACAAATAAAGAAAATACAACATAATATTAAAGAAAAGTTTTTTTGGAGTAAGTAAATTGTGAAAAGCAGCTTCAGCTTACATGTGCATGGATAATAATACCATTTTTTGGAGCTAAACAAATTGTGGAAAACAGCTTCAGCTAATGTGCATGAATAAGAAGTGGAGGGATAAGAATACCTTTTAATCGGTAGATTAATTTGATCATCACATCCGGCAGTCATCCTCATTAGTTATTGCTGCATTTTAAAGTTGATATTAGATAACTATTTAAAAGTTTATAATTAATTTTAATAGCCCCATTATTGTGTTTTTATGACAAATAATGGATAACATATCTGTCGGACAATCCTTAACATGAACTACTGCACCCGGCCTGCCCACCGCAATGTGCACAGACACGCAAGTAATTAATCGGCTTATCTTTAATTGTTTAGTTTTTTTGTTATGTGTAAAATGTGTACAACTTATTATGACGACACCTCAAGAAGTTAGCCTGACAATGGCGGAGTTATAAATAACTGCCGAAACAGAAGTTAAGCATGTTTTAAACAACAATAAAGATCATATTTAGGATTGTCTGACAAGGTATGTTTAACCATTATTTGTTATAAGTTCACCCATGTGAAGTGTTTTTGGGCTCTCGGGACATTTTTTTTATTGTTCCACCTTCACATTTGAGGACGCTAGGTTCTAGCCCGTAACTGTTTACACATTACCTAAGGCTAGTCCAAGGGGGTTGCGGTATTATCATTTGGTGATTGGCGGGATTTGTATTTGAACCCGGAACATCGGCCCCCAAGCTCTACCACTAGATCAGCTCGCTCCCTTGAAGTCTTGGGAAAAATATCGGTCCCGAACCTAGTCCTTACCATGAGATCAACAATCATAGCTTATTTCCTTTATGGGAAATTCGCTAAAAACTGGTATTGGTAACTTTTAAAAGATGCCTCTACTTTTAGGATGATACAGTTTTGAAAAATATTTAAGATATATAAGACAAGAGACACATTTCTATTCTACTATTTAGATAATTATTGTTAAAGAGTTTTTAGTGTTTTAATTATTTTAACAATTTTCCAGTGGTTTCTTCAGAGGTGATTCTCTTATCGGGACAGCAACAGTAAAGTTGCAACCACTAGAGACCAAATGTGTTCTCCACGAATCATTTGATGTAAGTCTTCTAGAACATAATTGAAAAAAAACTTGTTTTCTTTCAAATGAGTAGACTATCTTTTTAATTTACAAGTGAATGATTGCACTATCTAAATTTAAAGTCCTGTTTTGTTTTCATTTAACCCTTTGAGTCCCATTGGCAATTTCACTTATCTATGAACAAAAAAATCTAAATAGAAAACAAATATATGTCACAAAAATGATAAAGATGAAAGTAGCAAAATGATGAGAGGTGCAGCTCACAAAGGACTCTTATTTCCTGTTAACTTTCTCCAAACTCTGCTTTTGACAGGTTGAAATTCGAACCCTTAATCTACAGTACTGCTCGGTCATTTACCAAACATGATGGTTTATAGAACTAGCAATACTGACCAACAAAAGGCCCATATTTAGTCTTGAATTACATTTGCAAAATTAAATGTAATTTATTTAAGCATATTTCAAGAAGCAATTAGTTGTATCCAGTTTTGGTGTGATACCTCCTGTAACTTTGAAAAATCTATAAATATCACTAAAACAAGTTTAAAATTAATGAAAACTCATAATGTGAAATAGTTCATAATAACTTTAATATTACGAGCTGTTGGCCCGTCCTACGTACGGGAATCCAGTAGTCAATTAAAACTGAATATGATTCAGAACAGCTAGTTTACAACTTGGTGGCCGATTCACACACACTGGCTTTGAGTACAGTAGCTATACATACCACCTTCCACTGCATACTTACCGTACCTTTTTTTACCACCTTGGCCTCTGAAACCTCTAAAATGATCCTGGCCTCCCGTTCTCTTCTATCCCCTGCCATTTCTAAGGAAGATACCAGTCTGAAGATGTCTTTCATTACTTGGTCTTCCAAGTGGTCGTCTACCTTGTTGTACTCCTTGGAATACACTTTTAAAAGTTGAAGTATCTTCTCTCCGCCATGCAAAGCCTGCCCAGCCCATTCGAGATCCGAGCCTTTTGGTCTACTTTTGGAATGTACCCCTTTATTAAGTTTCTGAATCATTGAGTACTACTGGGGTAGTTATGATATGGTATGAATCGATTTTGGTTTCTACTGACACCCTGCAGCTTACTGGTCAGTTTTCTGAAGACCTACTACAGTACACCGGTTGACATTTTCATTGCGAATAAAATGTGTACTGTATACAGTCATACTTATATTCAAACATCTAGATAAAGATGTATCAACACGTAAACCACTTATATCTTCAAGGATTAAACACTTATACTTAGACGGATTGCATTTATGACAAAACTTGGTTATACGTTTAAAATGTTTAGTTCAAAATTACACAATCTCCTGATAACATAAATCTTTTACGGTAGAAAAGAAACTACCTTTCAAAGTGAAATAGTGTGTAGGCAAACTCTGACTATCAATATTTTTGTATACAAACAACTTGTAACATAAACATTTCAATGACATTTAGAAAACAGCTGTTAGTTAAACCACCACTAAAACGACTTAAACTCGTCTGTCGGCTGCTAGACTTTTTAAAAATTAAAACTTAATTTCTTAAAAACTGGGACCCTAAACTAAAATTATGGCTTCGACATTCCCTAGTTCTCAAAATTATCTTTCTTTCAACACAAAAATCATGAAAATCCGTCGAGTGGTTGATTCAGAATCGTGAAATAAAAAAACACTGTTTCGTTTTAATATTATAGATTGACATTATAAACGTGTGTGTATGTACAGGGTTTTAATGGATTTTTAAAATGATTTCAGTTGATGGAAGGAAGGAAAGCTATAGGTGGGAAGTTGGAGGTTAAAATTAGAATAAGGAACCCAATTCAAACCAAACAAGTGGAGAGGGTGGATGAAAAATGGCTTGTCATCGATCGCTAGCATCTCTTAAATGAATTAGCGTCCTTACTTTCCTGCTGTAATATTATTGTTACTTATTTTAGCTGTGTGTATATAAACTGCCAATGTTGTTTCCTATGTTATCAAATCGCAAATATATATTTTGCTATTATTTTAAAGAATAGTAATACTGTAAATGTTAACCTATCAACAAATTAACAAACAATTACAATTTCTTTGTTAATGGTAAGGCAGTTTTATGATTTTTTACATTATATTTTTAGAGCACTTTGATGAGATTTTAATTTTTGACTAGGATCCTTAAAGAATTTATGCAAGTTTATTAAATTTTCCAGATTTTTTAAGTGGTTTTTTATGTCAAACTTGAGTGTTCTTAATTGGTACAAGATGAATACAATTACAAACATAGCCTCCTCTAATACTTGGAATATAGGGAGTTTTTAACCAAATCAAACTGATCTTTTATATCATGACAACTATCTAAGTACAAAAAAAAAGGAAGACAATATAATTTCAGAGACTAGCAGTATCACACTTTGTGACTGGCTCATTACACTTTGTGACAGCTGGTTCATAGATGGGATACCTCATAGCCTCCTCTAATACAAGGCCGTGGCGTTGGTTTGTGGCGATATCACACCAGCAGGCCTATTGCCATGGTAATAGCTTCTGTATCCAATAGTCAATGGTAATAGCAAACGTTTTAACATAAACATTGCACAGACGCTTCATGAAGAATATTAGTTTCAGTAATCCAAAACTGCAGTGTGAACAGTGTGGCTAAATGAACAACTGGTCTTAGTTATAAAACCACACAAAACATTTTACTCCATTCTGTCATTAGCTTTGGGATTCTAAAGTAGATTTTCATACCCTCCTCTAACACAAGGCTGCGGCGAGATGAAAGTGGCAACACCGCTGTCCCGTCAAAACAAAACAGCTGTTGGTCTAGTATATAATGTAGAGTATAGGCAATGTTTATGTTTACAATTTTGTTATTTCTGTTAATACCATGGGAATAGGCATGGAAACGTGACGTTTCCACACACTGGCTTTGTATTAGAGAAGGCTATGAAATATCCCATCTATATGAACCAGCTGTTGCCAAATTTTTATTAAGAAAGAACGTAGAATGAGCCAGTCGCAGAGTGTGCTAGTTGTAGTCTCTAAAATTCTACTTTCTTATTATTTACATGATTTAGATGCTATAGCCTGGTAAAAGTACTCTTTATCAGTTTGAATTGGTAAAATATCCCCATATTCGGCAGAATTGGTCATTAATCTGTCAGTGACTTAATTCAATTACAGTACAACTTCGATTAACCGTCACTCTCTGTTGTCCGTCATCCCACTTTATTTCACTATACGAACATTGAACAAGTACAATATACAAAGTAACAGTTCTGTATTACTCTTGTATGTAAGTAATTTAAATATAAACTAGTGTTCATGTTGCTCGAATTCGAGCAATTGCAAAGTATAACAGGAGTTATTTCAAAACAAATAACAGTCATGTTTACAATGAGTTTAAAAGAGTCAACTCAAAGATTACCGGTGTGTAACTCAGACCATGTTTATCTTCGTTATTGATAAACCTTAAGCATTCCGGCCGGTTTTCTCCTTCTCAAAATGCCTCGCTGTACAGGCAACACAGGTCATTGATAGAGGGCCAATTGAGAACGAAAAGTCGTTTTGGGGTAGTGTTAGGGCGCATTTGTAACCTAATAGTTGAGATTGGCCAGGGTCAGTTGCTGACTGTGATGAGTTAAGCCTATTACGCGCCACTGTTCTGTAGCTGCGGTCGTTATCACGATTACGCCTCTTGTCTATGTTTCGTTGTCAACACGTCCGAGGCATTTAAAGAAAAAAAAAACAAATAAACAAATTATAGCTACACAAAACAATGGTAAATGCACTAAATACACATATTTAAGATACAACCATACTAACACGATCCGTCTTGGGGGTTATGTTTACACAAACTCAAATACGGGGTGACAAAAAAAAAACAGGGACAATTTAAGAATGTTATTACTCAGCTTTTATAAAGGCTGGATAGTTCATTGTTGTAGCAAATGAATTTTTATTTGATGCCATTTGGTGTATAGTTACTATGGATTATCAATGGTTGCCGCAATATCGTGCCTTTGTCATCAAGACTTTTTTCAAGAGTAATTTGTCTTATCATTTCTACTCAGCGTCAATTTTGTGTTCACTTCAACTTTGGCCATAATGGTGCAACCCCAAACCGAATAAACTACTCAAAGATGGGTAAACAATGTCCTAAACACGGCTTTTGTACTCAAAATTAAACCTATACAAATTTAAATTTCAATGCAATGTTTTGAAAACGGTTGACTTTGGACGCTCTACGCAGCACACTCGCGCGAACCATTTCAATGTTTTCCAGCGTTCGAACAGTCCAAGGTATCGACTTTGAGTGCAGAAGCCGTGTTCTGGAAATTACTTACCCAACTTTGAATAGTTTTTCGGTTTGGGGTTGCACCATTACGGCCAATGTTGAAGTGAAAGCGAAATTGGCGTTGAGTAGAAATGAAAGTCAAATTATTCTTAAAAAAGGTCTCTATGACAAAGGCACGATGTTGTGGTAACCATTGATGATCCATAGTAAATATACACTAAATGGCATCAAATAAACATTCATTTGCCGCATCAATGAACTCTCCAGCCTTTATAACAGCAGAGTAATAACATTTTAAAATTGTCCCTTTTTTTTGGTCCACCCTATAGTAAATAAATGTACTCAATGCGTTTCATTGAATTGAAAAATAAATAACAGCAATTAAATTATACAGCTGATCAAAATTTAAACAATTATGTTCTTCATAAGGATAACATGGGAACTTTCAAAGCCACTGGGGCAGAGCCCAAGGGACTTAAAAATGTAAGGCCAGTTTGCAAATCTACGCGACATGCTCTTTTCAATGAGACGTCAATGGATAAAATCGGTTAAGAAATGGCGGAGGAGTTCAACCGACAAAGTTTCATGTAGCGTATTAATTATATAGATAGATATGTATTAATCACTTGTATAGGGTTTTTTTCCCAAAACGACCAAAACCTTCAAATTAAAGTACATAACAGCATACAGTTTATTACATGATTTCTGCTATGCATCTATTCGCTTAACCCTCACGCTCCCGGTCCCGAGGGTGACTGTTAATAGAGGTTTTACTGTACGTCCATTTTTATTTAAAACTGGCCATGACTTCAAATTTTGCTATTGTAGTTCTGTCAATAGTCAAAGATTCTTTTCCTACAGTTACCTAACAATGTACATGTTCTCTCACTGATTTGAGAAAGCAAAGTGGCCAATTCACTCATCAGTGAGACAATGTTAACATTGTCTCACTCTAATTACTTTGTCTCACTCCAGATTTGCAGCGTGAAGGCACGAAATAGTCTTGTAGTAACATGCAGTCAACGTCGTATGCGCGCGAAATACGTTGGCAGCACTGGCTGTAAATCAGCTGGTCAGCTGTTGTACTGTTGTATTTGTCACTTCACATTAAATGTTATATTAAAAGTTCACTTCTGTGTAAAAATAGGTTATGTTTCTTCACAAATTATGGTAACAAATTATGGTTTTATGGTAACTGTAGGAAAAGTATAATGTGCAACTCGAGTTCAAAATACAATTGCCTCACTCGAGAAACAATTCCTCACTCGCCTACGGCTCGTGAGTATGGATTTCTCTCGAGTGAGTCAATTGCTCACTTTTCTCACTAGTTGCACAAATAACTATTGTTCATCAGCTTTATAACTTACACAAATTGCATTACTGTCTAAATAAAGTGTCGTTTAAAACCTCATAGAATGTTATGTAACGGGATGAATAGTTAAATATTTTCTATTGTGCTTAATTGCTGCTGCCTTAAATATCTTTCTAAGTGGATTGTGATTTAGGTTAAGGCTCAAGGTAATTAATTATTAAAGGCAACCCATAATATTGCTGCATCCATAAATACTTTTACTTATAATAAAAAAAAATCAAATTAAGATTAACACCAATAAAATAAATATATTTATGTTGCTCATAGTTTACAGTTTTGAAATGGTTGCTTTTTATTTCCAACCGATACTAAGTGACCAAGATGTTACAAAACTCTTCAGACGCGCCTAACTTAAATAAGACCTTTCTGAAAGGATCAAAATTGTTCTACAAAGAACCTATTCGATTTTCATAAGAGCATACTGTCACTGACAGTTGCCTAACAACTTATTTGCACATGTTGATCATAACTTTACTTAGGTGGAAACATTGTTTATTTATGTACATCTCTGTAAAATTATAACGAATAAAGTAAAATTAATTTTTAAATGTCTTGATTACATTTATTTACATTTACATTTATTTATTTTTAGTTAAACAGTTATGGTGCAAGTTGCTAACATAATTATTGCAGACGTTTTCCACCTCTGATTACTAAAACAGATGGGCTTTTTTATCGGGTTCTGGAATGTGACCATATATTCAGATAGGAAGGAGGAATCTTAGTAAAAAAGACATTTTCAGGAAACCCACAATAACTTAACTGAAGGGCAAACTAAAGAATGTGAAAAAGTCAGGATGCTAGATCTTGTGTTGTAATGCCACTTCTGTTTTACTTATTAGTCATGAAAAAGTCTGCAATAATTCTGTAACAAAAAACAATGAATTGCAAAGCTGGATTAGATTAATAACTAATCACTAAACTACTGTATATGTATAGTACAGTACAGTAAGGGTCTTCTCTGCAACACCTCTTTTTCACCCGTCCTACTTTAATATAAGGGTAATAATGAGGAAAACCTATGTTAAATTATACTTATATTTATTATTATAAAAAATGTTCTATATACATAATTCATAACGCATGATTTAAGATTAAACAAAAATAAACAGAATACATAATTTAATAGTGATTTATTTAATAAGAAAACAGGTATAATTTTTTTTACAGACATATTTACAGTTAGCGTGCTGATAAAGGCACTGACTATATGCAAGCAGAAGTATGTAAACTGGACGATTTAGCCGAGTAACTCGAAGTCATCATCGGAATCGTCAAACTGACGATCATGGTAAACTGTAACACACAAAAATAAAAATTTACTTAAACTTCAACAATAGCAATGTTGTCTAGCATACTTTAAGCACAATAATTGAACATGGTTTGGTTTCTATTGTTCTACAGTTTGAGGTGTTGCAACCAAGGCCCCACTAGAAAAACCAGGCCATGCTGCAGGATCCATGACATCACACTAGTGGATAGATTTCATAGATAAATTCATTGCCATCGCCATTCCCATATGTTTTAGGTAAATAAACAAGCTGGCTGTTTGTAAGATTTTAAAGGTACAAGATTTTAGTTTAGTACAACTATCCACCACTGTGACGTAGTGTTTCGCTGCCCGTGCTGCAGCATGGCCTGTTTTTCTAGTGGGGCCTTGGTTGCAACACTCCTATTGAATAACACAGCTGTTACTTTCTATGGGACCAGTTAAGATGGTTTAGTTTGTGCGTTTCACTAAACCAACTTAAGGTTGGGACAGAGGGAATTTGTCAATGAATGCTATGTGCAAAGCAGCATTCATACTGGGTGAAAATGTAAGAAGACAATAATTTTCTGATCGTGTATGGGAGGAGGCTGTATTTCCACTAGTCCAATAGGACAAAGCCTTTGCTTTTACAGAGGTATACTCTCAAATTGTATCCCCCCAGGTGCCCTAATATTCTGATACTTGAAAGATTCAATGGTTTACAGTAAGTTGTCCTCTCAGTCAAACATGGTTGCAAAGTTACAAGTTAGTCAAGTACACTCAGTAGGTATATCTTGATGTATTCATTTGTTCATATAATGATGTCATCCACTCCCTCGTTGAAGATTTTGTCAGTTTCACAATAAAAACTAACGTTTAAATAGAATACACCAACTTTTCAACCAAGCCAAACTTAAAAGAAGTTACTGGTATTGTAAATAATACCATATTTTTTTTATGTCACTGCAAAATATCTCAGTGGCAATAACCAAGGGAGGAAATAGACTTTGTGATAGTAGTACACTATGTGAGAAATTCAAAGATTGCAACCAACTGAGGAGACGCTGAGTTTGAACTCTACTCACACGACATAGCAGTAGCCCCAAGTGCATCGGCTGCTGTATCATCCACAGGTGTCCAGTGTTCCTGCTTCTCCTCGGACAACTCTATGAGTGCTTGACCGTCCGGAGTCACCATGTGTTTGCGTATGAGCTCACACAGTGAATCAAACTCAGCCTCTGTCCTACAGAAGAAACTCTGCAACAAAACAACCGAGACCGAGACTAAATACAGTGAGGGAGAAAGTTTTATTATTTTGTAGGAAAAAGCACTTATATCAGGAATATAGAAAGAAGGAATAAAAAGAACAATAGTTTAAGGTAAAGATTCAAACCCAGGCAAAAAAAATACAGGCTCTAGAAAATGGAACACAGAAAGTTCAAAATAAAGTTAAATTAATATTTCATCCTCTAAGAAGAAGGAATTTTCTTATTCAAAGCAGAAATGGAGTGCTGGGTACATTAAACAATATTTGTTCCAAGCATCATGTGGATGTTCAGTTTTATCTTTCGAATACCATTACAGATCAGACCACAATCCCGCTAATCTAAAACATCTGACTAAGCTGAACAGCCTGTTGGGGTAAGCTCTTACTGTACCGTATTTTGATAAAAAAACAAAACTTGCTGTATGTAAAAAAAATACCCCTGCCGCAGCAAACCTGTGGATTAAGCGAATTCCCATTTGTCTGAATTGATTTTCAATTAAATTTATTAGGTAAATAACATTAGGTTTAACTTAACGAGTACCTAGGTTTGCTGCTACAAGGAAGCTAATAATGTGTGTTTTTTAGTAAAATAGCTTAGTATAAAATAAATAAATTTGCCAGGATTGATAAAAATATGTCCATAAACAAGCAAACTACAACATTTTACAATATTCTCCATTAGAATTAGGCCTAACATGAGAATTTTAAATTTATATTTTTTTAAATTTTATCCGTTACCAATAACCGTACAAAAACACTTTAATATACTACCTAAATTGTTTGTTTTTTTAAGGTCTTTTCTTTAACAAGGTCTAGAGAGAAATTGGGAAATTATGTGTTTTGAGGGTCAAAAATGAGAAAAACCAATTATTACCCCATAAAACCCCGTTCCCATGATCTGATCATGCCGGTTTACAAACTCATTCAAATTTATCCCACCTTGCACCTTTAAATCAAATTTCATCAAAATTGGACAGAAATTACTCAAGATCATGTACACACATATTTATATATATAAATATATACAAATTTGAACGAATAGTGTTTTTGGCCTCTGGGAACATCAAAATGAAAAAGTAAATCGGTCCCGGGCCTAGGTTTTACCGTGCCACCTACGGTAAGAGCTACTACCCTATAGGGAAATTTGCTAAAATAAACTTGACTGTGATACCAGGACTGCAAGTTTATTTGATGATCATGAAAAAACTTTATGGAATTTTGTATGGAAATTTGGAATAATTACCGCCTTTAGTCAAAGGTCCATTCATTAACGGTGTTCAATTAGTTCTAAGGCTGTCTCATAAAAAGGTTCTAAGTAAGAAAGACGCAATTGTGGAAGAAAACCATAAGTTTGCCACAATTGGAGGAAATAACCATGGATAAGTTCCATGATCACAGTGTCACCATGATCACGATGTTGTCCTAATGAGCACAACAGCCATATGACTATTTAATTGAGGTGTGCAAGCAACTTGATTTTCAAGTAAAGTTGAGCCTATGTTTATGTTGTTTTTGAGTAGAAAATAGGCTGCAGCTGGTCCATATAGGTGGGATGATCTAATTTCACTCACCACAGCCACAGAAGGATCCATCTGAAGAATATGTAGCCTGCTCGCCTGATTGCAATGGTAAGAGGAGTCCATCTTCCACTCATGTTGGTGTTCTTTACCGTTGACCACTCCTATGCTCTGAGTCGTGTGGGGGTCAAGGAATATCACATCATTGCCTGCAAAAGGTCAAAATTAGATAGTAAAAAGACCACGGTTTTAGCCATTTGACCCTTACAAAAAATGTAAAATAGTATATTTCATCACTAGGGCCTAAAGTGTCTCTCTGACCCGAGGGAAATTGAGCGAGGGTTAAAAAGTTACTTTTTGCCCGTGTGGTGAACTATATTTTTCGTCATATTGCATCATTAATTAGGCCTTACAAAAACTAAGCTAGAAAAAGAAATAATTTTTAAGTAAAGATAATTTCTCAAAACGACTTCCAGCTCGTTTTCAATTCTGCTAATGCAAATAAGCAGCTGTTTATTAAGTGATTAAATTATTTTGTCTATTGCGATTGTGTTATTGTACCATCGATATGTAGAGCAATCGACAACAATAGGCTAAAACCTTACCTAATAAATCAATAGATAAATAATTTATATCGAATTAAAACAGCTGATTTTTGCTCCCAAGAGAGTAAAAATGTTACTTTAGACCCGCAACGCATGTATTAAAAACGGCTGTTTTTGCTGCAGTATGAGGAAAAATTCTTTTTTTAAAGTTTTTTGTAAGGATTTCCCTTATGTATCCATGTCCAATAAATACATAGTAAACAAACACAAAATAATAAATCATATACATATGCAGGAATATGTACATAACTCTTAAATTTACAAATAAATGTCTTTGAAACAAACACTCTAATATGCTAATGGCAAATTGAATTTTTTAGATGAAGTGGTTTTTTTCCCAGAACTTTTTTTTGGATTTTGTAGAAATAAAAAAAAAGAACACAGAGGCACAATAATGATTATTTTGTCCATTGGAAAAACAATATAACGACAATAAAAAAGTATGTAACATTTCTTTCGGAAGTAGAGTGAGCGTCTGTTGTAGTTATAGGTAATTTATACGTATGTGAGGCGGTTAGTGGTAACTAGAGCTGTGGTACCTTGTGATCAAGCAAACAAACACTCTTGTGACAAAAGACATATATACAATACCGGTATATAAAGACAGATATAAAAAATGAATGTAATAGCAGGAAATTTTACTTTAAACTAAAGAAATTCCTAGTAGAAAAAGCAATTTACTCCTTTGAGGAATTTTACAATTTAAAATATTGTAATTAGACAATAAGTGACTCACTGACTTGTAAGTGATTGTACTTGTACATTTATACTTGTCATTTATGAATAAAGGAGATTTTGATTTGATTTGATATATTTAAGACAAGGGGGAAAGAGAAGTGTCAGGAAGAAAGGAGAATGCCTTGAGGAAGCCCCAGAACTACAAACTTTAAGACATTCATGATCCAAAACCCAATTTGTACATGATTGAATATTTTTTCTTAACAGTAGGGATCCTATTGTTTCGATTCTTTTAATATTGACAGCTACATATATTGTATTGCACATAATGTTGCTTTATACATAGCCACCGAAATGAACAAGACACAACCTGTTCATAAGGCACATTTTGTACGAACTACGAACAGATAATATTACTGTGTTATTAAATTGTTATATATAAATACTGTAATTTGTGGTTTTGAAACACGTCCAATCATTTTTTAAGTAAATTGAAAGTTAAAACTCGTTTAGTCTGGACAAGAGTTTATAAGGTGTCCAATTGAAAGGGAGTCTACAGCACTTTTACATCTCCATGCGAACTATGATAAAAATTAAAATACTTTAAATTTTACTTACCAACACAGCCAATGAAATAAAGAGCGTGATTTGGTTTCCCACCAATGACACCAAGAGATTGCTTGAATGTGAAAGTAGCCTGTAAAAAGTCAATTGATAACAGAAAACTCATGATAGATTGAATCAAAATCTATAATTGAATTGAAGATTCTGCAATCAAAATTACGGGACTGTACTTCAATGAAAAGAAATGAGAGTGCATGAAAATGGTCCAATGATAATTATTGATGAATCACAAAAAAACTAATATATGTAAGTTACGGACAGCTACTACAATTTATAATTGCGCATTTTTGTGTAGTTCATTATTCTCTAGTAAATTTTCAACTGCAGTCCAGGAAGTTTATTATTGCCAGTCACATGGTAAAAAGCTGTACAAAAAGAAAATTGAAAATATGGTAAAATATGCTAACCATAATGAAGGGGGCTAGGCCGTTTCGGATAACCTATTTTTTAGTTAGTCAATAGTTTGAATTAAAAGGCACTTTTGGTACAAATAAATCTACCAAGGTTGTTTTTTTTTTTATTGTCAACTTAAAATCTACAAACATATAACAAAATCTATTTTTTTTTTAAACTAACAGTTGTTTATGTTACTATTGGCCATTGTAAACGCCTGTATAATCTGAATTACTCAAAACCCCTAATAGTCTAATTTAATCAGTGTTTACTGTAGTTTGTATACAAATCAGTATAAGTGTGAATACCTTGATTGCCTGAACATAGACAGGGTTGATGTCCGTGATGCCGAGTCTTAAAGGAACGACCAATACAAGAGGTTTCCAACTACGAGCTCGCCGTCGTACATCTGACCTCTGGGTCTCCGAAGTGCACAACTGTCCTGCAAAATTCACATAATCTTAGGCCCAGAATATGACCACTTAAGGGAATTTTCAAAATCTTGAATCCTAATCCTAAAAAATACAATCTAGAATCTTGTACACAGCTAGGTAGCTAAGAGATGACAGTGCCTGCCAAACAATCAGAAGGTCACAGGTTCAAACCTGGGAAAAGACATTAGCTTTTTGGTGCTCTGAAAGTGGACTCAGCTGTCCTTGAACAATAGAATAATGACTCTGGCTAACACTAACAGCTTATCTTTGTCAATTACATTGATCATCCACTATATTCTACAACTTGCATTTATATTAGCTTCAAATACCTCCACAAAGTTCACCGCTATCGTAGTAAGTAATGACTATCAAAGTACAACTTTGAAGTAGGTACAATAAATAAAAAATCTTCTGTGAAAGCCTATTATTTACTTACTTTGAATGAATTTCGAAACATATTAATTTTACACAAGATTAGCGGCAAAGTTGTCACTACGATACAACAACATCGTCATCATTGTATCCATAATTTCCCGCAAAAGTGATAATATTGAGATTATTATCCCATGGTTTTTTAAATAAAATCAGTGACTTCTGTAAAATTATGGTGAAATCTGTGTCTTTTCTGTGATTTCCCCCAACACCAGTAAACTACTGGTAATTTAGTAACCAGACTTTAATGGCCTGTAGACATCCTGAGATACTATTGGTTGGAAATTAAGTTCTATTAAATCCTTGGATTTCAAAAGAGGTACATACTGACATCATTGATGACAACGGTGTTATCCATGGCGACATGGAACGCAACAGAGCTCCACTCATCGTAGGCAGACAGTTTTCTATGTAGACAAACATCAATAGGGAATTTTAGTACATCTTTCATAACAGGATCTGTTAAGTACTAAGTACTACAGTAAATACCCACTTGATGTGTTAGCCTATGCAGTTTATTTTCTAAATATGTCATAAACAATAAGTTACTTAAACAACACATTGAACAGTCTGCAACTGACAGACTTCCAAAACTATGATAGGTAATTGATAAGTCAACACATCAAACAATATCAAAAACATCAGTAGAGTGAAGTCAGACAAAGTGAATAGTGAGTACATACAATATCAGTTAAGCAAAGTTTTAGTACACCCTTTTTTCCTAGGACGCTAGGCACGAGCCAGGAATTGTTTTTCACACTACTTCAGGCTAGACCTAGGGGTTACGGTATTATCACTTAGATAAAATCCACTGGTGATTTGGACGGGATTTGAACCCGGGCCCCAGGAACCGGAGTCCCGCGCTCTAACCACTAGACCAGCTCGCTCCCCAGTACACCCTAATAAAACCAGTTATAAATTCAACAATTCTCAAATCCAGAATTTGTCAAGTAGGCCTATATGTAATCCTAAAATGTGTTATTATAGCCTAAAAAATCTTTTACCAGGAGAATAATTTAAAAAGGCAGAATTCAAAATACTTGAAGGCTTCGTCTCTGACCGGGATTCCGGATGGACTGCGTCAAATTTAATTTAAAAAGTAAACTGAGATGGCGGCGAGTTAAAAAAGTGGCACGTCATCTAATTCTTTAAATGTGTAAATAGGCCTATTTTGAAGTTTTTCCTTCACTGAGGTTTTAAACCCAGCCACATCCATACTTCTGACTTCTTCAGGCAGACTATTGTAGAGTTTAATTGCGGTCACTGGGAAGCTATTCAGGGATTTGGACAGTCTGCATTGAGGGGTGTCGAGGCTTCTAGCGTTCCTGGTGTTATGCTGATGTATATCTTGTCTTCTTCCATACATAGTGCGAGTCCCATGCCTCACTTTAAGTTTAGGTTTCCTAAAATTATTCACTCGCTTAGCTTAGTCAAGAGGTGTTAGGTTAATGAGACATAAGACTGCTTAAGGGTGTTACTCAACGTGTAATGAACAAAAATTTAAATTACGAAAACAACAAAAGTTAAAAGTGTTACAACAGCAAAAGAAAACTTTGAAAATGCAAAAAACAACAATAATAAGATAAATTAATTTGCAACGTTAAATTTACAAGAAAAGAAAATCAATTGAAAATATAAAAGAATTAGTTATTGACAAATTATATGACTTTTATGTTTGACAAAGTGTTAGTTAGATATTTTATTCTTTCTACATACTGTCTATTGTCCCAGAAGCACACACACCGATACACGCACTCCCAAACTCCCGATCTTCTTTCTCCGGTGGCCCGTGGTGATCTCCTCGATGTTTTCCTTCAGATCCTCCAGCTCCAAGAGTCTTGACCCCTCCATCTTCATCATTAGCCCTTCTCATTGGCTGATTACCGATAGGGTGTGTGGCTAATAGGTTAACGGTGTTTCTTGGAAGTCAGCCCTACCGGTCATCGCCTAGCTCACATCAGCTGGGAAAGGAATTTGTAAATCGATGCTCATGCTACTGTTCAACTCTGTTCACACCAACTGGTCGACTAAGTGTAATGTGAACAGAGTGTCTGCATAGATGAACACTGTGGGTACGGGGTTAATCCCCTTTCTTACAATAGAGATGTTCTGGCGTACGTGTATCAGACAATTGAGGACATATTGTCCATAAACAGTCAGGATGCCGAGACGTTGAAAGATAGGCCTATGAGTAAAATCTTTGCCTGTTATTTCAGTAGAGGTTATCACTCTCAACGCCTCCTTTTGGAGTATCAACAATCTACTGCATGCAGGAGCGTGACCCCAAAGGAGTATACCATACAAGATATGGCTGCGGAACAGCAAGAAGTAAACAGTAACAAGGTACTGCTCAGTGACCACATGACGTAGCTTTCTGAGGAGGAAGATCACTCGAGACAATTTGGTGCAGATCTGGGCTATATGGTGATCCCAGTTTAATTTCTGGTCAAGCCAAAAACCAAGCAACTTTACTGGTTGATTCTCTTCAGCAGCAATTTGTCTCCCAAGAGTGCAGATCAGGAGTTGGGTCTTGTCCTCGTTTAATTTTAACTTATTTGAAGCGAACCACTCCATTGTTGTCTCCAGCAATGTACTTGCTTCCCTCTTAACCCGTTCAATACATCTACCTTCCGTCACCAATGTTGTGTCATCAGCAAATAGTAATGCCTGTCCGTCTATTCCTAGGTCATTAATTAATGACCTAGGAATTTGTAGATTTGTTTTTCAAACCAAATCTGAAGCAATAATAAAAGGGGGAAAATAAAAAAACTTTTACTTTTGGACAGCATTGATTTTAAGTAAACCCCTTAAGAAATCCAGAGGGTCATATATTACATTTCAAAGTGAACATGGTTGATATTATTACACACATTTACATTCTATTATATTCTGCTTTCTACAGATGAGCAAAAATCCTCCTAATCGGAAGATAGACAACTTGGGGGTGAAAAATGTTGCGAAAATTGGTTTTTAAAACAACACTTAGCTCAGATGAAGCAAAAATGATAATCAATTAATTGTCCAAATTCATGTTCAATTCGATCGCTAAAAACGTGGGATGAAATTCAAAAAGAGGAAGAAAAAGACGGACCATACCTAAGTACTTGTGCAACGGTGTTAGGTCCAAACCATTCGCCGACAGACTTTCCCTCAGATGCACCCATTAGTGCTATCTGGTGTATGGAGTATGGAGCTGTCCGTCGGTCCTCAAACATACGGAGTATCCTGAGGTAGGCTCTGTCTCTACACTGAGGCGACCACCTCCAGTCTCGACCTATAACATCAACAGATAAACAACAAGCACAGATGCACTCACTAGTGCTATCTAGTGTATGGAGTACGGAGCTGTCCGTCGGTCCTCAAACATACGGAGTATCCTGAGGTAGGCTCTGTCTCTACACTGAGGCGACAACCTCCAGTCTCAACCTACAACATCAACAGATAAACAACAAGCACAGATGCACCCACTAGTGCTATCTGGTGTATGGAGTACGGAGCTGTCCGACGGTCCTCAAACATACGGAGTATCCTGAGGTAGGCTCTGTCTCTACACTGAGGCGACCACCTCCAGTCTCGACCTACAACATCAACAGATAAACAACGTATGTTCATAAGCTGAGAGAAAACATAATAAAATTATACGTGATTTTATCACAGAATCCATGGTGTTCAAAGGGGTAATACAACACAAAACTTGTTCTCACTAAATACTAACCAAGATGTAGAAACAACAAGGCTTGTCCAATCAGCATCTGTCCACAGCGTAACATGCAGCCCCAACCTTTGTCAGACGTCAGACCAGAGTCACCAATCTGGACGAAGCCCTTCCGATACGAGAACCACAGCCGAGAGTGAATGTCTCTACGTATTTCTTCCAGATCTACAACAAAACATATAGATATTTTGGTGGCCTCAGGTGTGTGGAGTATCAAACAAAGTAACAGGTGAGTAGATATTGTATGAGAACAAAATGTAACTGTACTACTAATAAATCATGACAGTACTGGGAGGAAAAGTTTTAGCAGGAAATAATAGAATTGAAGATGGGCAGATATAAAATGTACAGTTTAAAAAATGACAGAATAAGTAAAACATATTTTGCTGAAGTTGGCTTACTGATAGTCTGAGCAAATACATCCCAAGGACTTCTTTAAGGAAATAGAAAATGTTCACCAAATCTGATTTAGACCTATTTGTAAATTTAACTAATGATGTTTTTAGTCATTAGGGACCTAAAACAAACAACTGCATTGTTTACAATTAAAATTGTATGTATACGCCATTCTTATATCATCAAATAGGCTATTTTCAGACTTTCCAAAACTATTTGGACTGTTAAATTACTTTGCTCAACTTAACTACTTATTCCTTTAAACATTTTAGTATACAAATGGAAATGATTATACAACTCTATTTTTGTTGCAACATAATTTAATTATTACCGGTACAAAAAAAATACAAAAAACAGGGTAATCAATTGGCATAAACTAATTTACACCTTGCACACACTAATCATGGGCCAAGTAACTATGTGAAAAATCACAATTTTGATTTACCCTGAATACTATAAAAGCTTTGACTGAAGGTAGTTACTGACCATTGATAGCGTTGTATTGCTTGCCGAGTATCCAGACGGGTTCCTTGGTGCGGGGAATGTCTTCCGGATCGCGTGACTGAAGGTCGTGGGTCAAATAAGCCTCCAACATCATGTCCATGGCCAGTCGCGTCTTGCTGCGCTTCTTAACCAGCTTTTTGGTGAAATCCATACATCCCCACCTAACAATGAAACTTTAAGTTAGATCAGGGTTTCCCAACTTGTAGTACGCATAGGCGGCTCAGAATATGTCGTAAACAAGGGTAAACCTTTACACATCAGTAGTTGTGTATTATTCCAGCTTCAAGAACGATGCTACACATGTAGCAAAATGTACATCGAGCAAAATATCTACACATTTCAAGAATCTGGCAACAAGGTAAACTAGTTTATAATACATCAGTAGTGTTTTGGCTGGTAGTGATTTCCTTAGGTGGTACATCAATTGTGAAAATACAATATTCTAGGGAATGGTACTAAGTTATGGCTGGAAACTAAGTTACCTAGTTAAGTTTCCAATACCGCTAAAAAGAAAACTGAATTAACACTGTGCTGCAGTTTTTGAGCAATCATTGAAAGAGCCGATTAGCAAACTAAGGAAACATACCAAAGTCATAGAACCCCACCAAGTAGAAGAAAATAGAAACAATGTTTTTTTTTATATTTATAATCCTTATTATGGACAGCCTAATGCGGCTATGAGTGGGAAACATTTGTAGAAAACACTAAAAAACAAGATCAGCTTTTGAAAAATGATAAGATATTTACAAGAAATTCTGATTAGGTATATCGAACTGTTATGTACATTGTGAGTATTTCCATAATCTTAGAGTCGACTCTTTTAAAGTCATCAGAAATTATGACTGTTATTTGTTTTAAAATAACGCATGTACCGGTAATACTTCGCAATTGCTCAAATTTAAGCAACAGGTACACTAGTTTAGAATTATTTTAGAACTAAAACTTGACTAGCCTACACTTATAATTTGCCTATTAATAATAATGAACGAATATAAAATTATTAATAATAACTGTTAATATTATTAACAACCAAAAATTAATAACGAACAAACCTGTCAGTGTTTTCTTTTATAGAAAAAAAAAAACTATGTTCAAACATGAGCAAAGCTTTCATTGTAATTGGTATTTTGTACAATGTAGCCTAAATATCAAAAAGGCAATATAAATTTCAAAACATAAACTAGCTCTGATTGGTCTAAATGACTTAATACTTTGGAGACTGTATGATAATCTGGGGTTATCAATAACTCGTTGAAAGACGCTTTATTTAACAGTTCACAAAAAGGTCTTCAATCTGAGATTATCAGTGCCTAGCAGATTTAATTTAGTGCTATAAGTTAGCCTAAACTTAGCTGTTGCTATTAAAAGTTTTTACAGTGTTTGCAACTATTCACACCATTTTATGTTTTTTTGAGTTAATGGTTGTGTGCCCTGGTCTTGTTTCTGTAAAATATTTACCTATTTGTAGATTGCATAGTTAATTAATAGCCCAACATAAACTGGGTCCATAATAAAAGTATAAAAAATGAAAATTAATCCTAATTAGAAAAAGGTTTCCTACGCAACTCAGATTACAAACTGGTACGATTGACTGCAGATCAACTAAAACAATTCTATCACAAATTAGTGAGCTTTTTTGTCTAAAGCTGCTATAGTCAATGCTCTACCCCAGGATCGTTTTTCACATTAATTCAGGCTAAACCTAGGGGTTGCAGCATTATCACTTAGATCAAATCTATTAATTGATGATTTGGCGGTATTTGAGCCCAGGACCTCAGGGACTGAAGTACCAGACTCTGCCACTAGGTCAGCTTGATCCTTTTTTATTTTAAACCACAAGAAACCTTGTTGAATTGTTTTGCTACTATTCAACTCAAATGTTCTTTCATGGTATAACAAATAACAAAATGCATTTGGTTTAAAGCAAGCTATGCTGCCCCTTACATTCATAGCACTAATTGCTTATTTTCACTCCTGCCGAAGCATTAAGCTGATTTCAATGTTTGTTGTCAACAATATCAACCTACCGTTTAGTTTGTACGTGTACCTTTACAACTTTTTTCACAATTCTCAACACCTTTGAGCTGGTTACAACATTTTAAATGTCAACAACTGAATCATCTCAAGGACACGTCAAACGCACAACACCGATATGTGACATAGGCATTCTTTCTAGAGAGAGGGGCTCGGCGCCAGGCCTCGCTTTATACGTCATGGAATCGTTTCGGTTAACCCGATTTCGGTGAACCGGGGTTCTACTGCATGGTACTTGTAAAGTAAAATTTCTTTTAAGATTTTTATTTATTTACAAAATTGTATATTAACAGCTGTTTGCTCTTATCATACTTCCTTTCCCACACAGCTTCATAAAGTCCTCCAAACCGCCATCGGAACACCGCTATTGTGCATTGAATACGGTAGTAAATTATTTTGGTTTTAGTTTTTAGACACTTACTTAATAATAATTCTGACAAAGAAAATTGAGGTAGCATGAAGGTAATTTTGGATTTAACATGAAAAGTACTACAGTAGCCTACATAAATAAAGATTAGGCCCACTGAAAGGAAAAAAAGGATGAGAGGTTTCTATACTGCACTACAACCCTGGAGGTACGTTTTATTTTGAGCATAGCCTCCTCTTATTAATACTGTAGGCCTACAATATTGCCACGACGTTGATGTGTGGCAATGTTGCACTGGCTCACCTATTGCCATGGTAGGCCTAATAACAAATGTGTAAACATAAATACTGCGCAGAAAGCTGTTGCAATATGAGTTAGTGCAACAGATTTGAAACAAATGTAATTTCAATGATTTTCAACATAGCCTAAGTTAACTCTTATCTATTTTATTTTGTTTAAGTGTGTTTCTACGCAAGTGGATTTTTTTGAAAGGGAACGGTCCAAACCCTGGTCTTGTTACTAACTTCCCTAACTTCGACCTTTTTGTCAGATAGCACCATTGATTCATAGCCCAATGACAAATAGCATCTGGATCTGGAATTGATCTAGCTTGGAATCGAACCAGCGACCTTCAGATTTGAAGGCGAGTACTATAACCACTCGGCACCCAGACAATTACATTTAATTTACATTTCTGAGTTTGTTAACTTAACCAATTTTTAAAAAAGATACAGGTCTAATTAGCAAAAGTGGCACTGTCTTTCATCTAGGCCTAGATTATTTACAAGAAAATAGCCTCCAAAAGATGGCGTCCTTCTTCATTGGATGCAAATCAGGCATCTTTTATTAAAGTTCTCCACTCGACCAGTTTTGTGAAAGTTTGCCCTTTAATAGACGATATTTCGTCTCAAATTGAATGGCCTTTATCAATTTATTTAAAGTTCGGGGCTTTTTAGGCTACATTTAAACCTTTGATTTCAGGTTTGACCCCTAATCAAAAAGTCATAGGCCCTATTCTGAAAGATCTGTTGATTGATTAGGTCAATGAACATAACCAAAGCGTGAGATGATGAGGCTAAGGAACATTTGTTTAAGACTTTCAATGAATCCCTTGCTTTGTGGGCTGTAGTGCCATTCTACTAAAACCATATTGGCTTTGTATTAAAAATTAAAGCTCGTAGAGTTGATGCTAACAAATTACAGAACATGTTGGATGTATTTATGTGGTGATTCTGTATCAAATTAACGAGACATTATTCTTAAAAAAAAAATGCTCTACACAGCGAAACAAGATGCTTGACCAACAATGAACCATATCTTGGCAAAAAGGGTACGGGTCCTAAAGCCGACGGCCGGTGAAGGTCACTCCCAACTCCCTTACACTAAGTTACGCCTACGCAAGTCAAACCGTCTGCTTTTTAGTCCATTATTAGAGGAGGCCAAAAAGGCATTCATCTGGAAGGTAGAAAAGGCAGACTCAGCAATGATGTTCCGTTTTGATACAATTCAATACCGGTAAGTTAAGTATAACAGAGTTAGAATTTATTTTTTTAGTTAAATATAGCCTATTGCCTATATTGTGGGCCTATTATAACTTAGTTTTACCATCCAAAGAACGCTTAAAGAGTAAGTGTCAAAAAAGAATAACATAAGAGTGGGAAGAACTTCCTAAATATAATATAGCCTAGGCTAGGTCACCAATCCTGTCTTATGTAGGCCTATTTTTATTTGTCTTAGAGAGTAAATAATCCTTTCTAATGGTTATTGATTCTAAGACAGCATCTATTCTCAAACAGCATATTTTTAATTTCAACTATTAAAATGAGACACAAACAGAAATATTGTTGAGAGAAATAGCGTGAGCTATAATAGCAAAAATATCAATCAAACCTTATGGTACAAAAGCTAACCTTGAATTCGTCAAACTATTTTTGGGTGCAAGGTTGTAAAGAAAATCTCCACTTTGTACGTTAGTAGGTGTTGGCAATCATCTAATATTTAGTAGTATTTAAAATCTGAAGAGCATTAAGGTGTAGTATTTAGTAAAATTGTAATAAGATCTAATAAATAAGCTAAATATCAGCTGTTGTTTGATAACAGATATGCTGACGATGTTCTGGGAAATTATCACGAATCTAACTAGTTGTTTCGTAAGATTAAACGAAACTTATTTAAATGGTATTTAAAAAATGTACTTACGTTGAAATAAAAAGTATTTATCTTTATTTTATTCGGTGAATATACGACTAAATTCCACTCACAATAAGGAAAATTTATTTGTCACCATTTTACTTCCTACCTACACAGCTACAACAAAAACAATTGATTCGGTGACGGTTCCTATCTTATTCATTGAAATGACTAACTAAACAGCTGAAACTCGTCACTGTTGCCACACTATCAAAAATTCAAGATTGCAGACTACATAACTATTATTATTATCCATATATAAAGCCCGAAGTACTGTACCCATGAACTTTTGAGAAAACTACAACTCACACTCCCATAAACCTATACTTAAAATGTTCGTCATGGTTAGAAACCTTGCGCAAAACTATACATTATTTCATAAATTACCCTTTAAGGTCGTAATTGTTTTCTAAAGGGAACTTTCGAACTTTCCATATCACCCGTACCTACTTATTTGTATGTTATTCTTTCAATTTATTACCTTATTAAAATCGTGATTATTTGTTTCTATTCCTGTATTTTGTTTTGCTTATTTCAGCTTAACTACTTAACTTAACCAATCAATAGTTTTTTCTATACTTATAATATCAATGAAGTCAAACGGGGTGAAGACCGTGGGTAACAGGTAACAGCTATCAATTGGTTGAGATGGGGCTGGGGACGCCACCTATATGTGTATTTTAACCAACCCGAATTAGAGTGAAGGATGAATAATGAATGTTGAATGTTGTGAGAATGTGATCCATGGTGGAAGGAAAGTGATCTATATATCTAGTTTTGTTACTGACTAAGATCAGCTGTTTCATCAGTCAGAATCATTTATTTAAAGCCAAAATGATCAGGGACAGCTGGGTCCAGTTTTGAACAATCAAAAAACAAAATCATAAACTAAGTGCAAAGTAAAACCAAAACCAAAAAAAGATTGTTTTAAGAATTATATCCACCTTGACAGCTCACTTTCTCCTCACTTTTTTCTCAGGACATCCCACGGATATTGCAACAGGATATGCAAGATATCCCATAGTAGTCCTATGGTCAACCTGGGATATCCCCGGAGATATGTCCCCGCCCGGGGATGTCCCACGGATAAGCTCACAACATATCCTGAGATCATCCCAGAGTAGTCCCACGGCCGCCTTTCTCCAGGCTGCGGCCTTCGAAGCGGCAACGTCGCAAGTGGTGTTGTAACAGCTGTTTTGTTTGGAAGCAGCTAATGGTATTTTTGTATTTACGAAAAATTTGTTACCGGACTATGACAATATTGACTCCACTTAAAATATACAGATATAGATTTTTAATTCATATTGTTTCGGTTGTTCATAAATTTCAATTTATATCAATAAAGTGCGAATTATTGAGCTGATGTCACCTGTCTGTCATGTTATCTTATGGGACGTCTGTCACTAAACAACATCACTTGCGACGTTGCCAATTCTACCAGGCCGCGGTCTGTAGTTAAAGGTGGCCGTGGTAGTCCTCAGGACATATGGGACTACTATGGGATGTCCCTGGGATAAAGTGTGCTGTCTGGGCATCGTCTTGAATCCCTGCCATATCTAAGAAGCTTACTTCAAGTAGACTTCACTGAATGTAAAGCTTGTTTTCGTTTTTTACAGAAGTCCCTCACAGAATACAGTTGACTTATTTAGGTATTTTTCAATAGAATAACCAATTACTGAAATTACTAAGTAAATGGATTACAACCCCACCCCCACGACGGAGTCAAAAGATTATTTTTTTTCTAACAGAGGGCCAGGATTATAAATAGATCATGTTATTGCATCGCAGCTGAGCTGGAACAGCTTTTTTTACACCCTCATTCACAGGTCCTCATTCTCCGTCAAATACCAGGTTATTATAGTAAACCATGAGATCCTTTTGACTATGGTAACCTCGTCTTCCCTTTGATCTCCATCAGTTGATAGGCCAAGGGATGTCATACACAGACCTTTTGTAGGGCTTGGCTCATAAACATCACGTGGATGGCTGTCTCCTTCCTCACCACCACATTTTCTACATAAGAGGCTTTCAACTTGAATTCTCATCTTGTGTAGATGTCCACGGAATACTCAGTGGCCGCTGAGGCCAACCACCTTCCGCAGAGTCTTCCTACTCAGTCCAAGGTCATCTGCTGCTATCGCACTTGGTAAGCAACACCACACGTCAGCTCTGGACCCATGAGCAGGATTTCAGCCCCTTTGTTTGCCCACTTGTCAGCTCCCTCATTGCCAGCAATACCTTATTTGTGCCCTAGAACCCGACTAAAGATAAATTTTGTTGTTCTCTCCCAGGGCTTTCATGGCCTGATGACAGTGCCATACTGGTTTAGAGGTAAATTCAAAACTGTCAAGTGCCATTAGCGCCATGAACCATCTCCAAACACACTCTCGCACACTCGGACAGGGAAACAGCTTCAGCCTGCAATACAGTGGCCAGTTTCCCCAGGCTTACGTAAAACTGTGCCTTGGGTCAAGAGATTGTTGGTTGGATCCTAAAGCCAAGACGGTACACTTATGTATTATACCAACACCGATAACACCGATAAATCGATTTCCAAATAAGACTTTAATACATTTTTAAGAGTGGTTAGGTTATAATTATTAGGTGTGGTCGGTATAATACGTAACTCGTAAACCAAAAAGGCAGCAATTTTTAATGGTTTAAAACTGGACTGTCTGGACCCACCTGTCTTTGATCATTGGATTTTTATTAATAACTAGCAGAGTATCCGTCCTTCGTACGGGGTTGGCAAATAAGTATAAAATGCTTATTGCAGTTATACACAATCTTTGCGTTTGCGATGTGAGAAAACACGGTTTGAGAAAATTTGCTTCCTCAAATTTACGGTATGCGATAGTATTACACATCTACCATAGTCACTGTTCTACTACTTCACCTACACAATAGAGAAAGATAGATTATTAAAAATTCGAAAAATATCATAAATTATTCATGAAATTAAAAACATAAACATAACTGTAAACAATCCTACTTTGACAGTTCTCATTGTGTATCACAGTTTTTTGTTGCTGCTTAGTTCAAATTAGCTGTTTTCATAAATAATGAAAAAAATAATAGTGCTGCACCCTGTTGGTAAATCTTATAAATTTGTTATGCTTTTGCATATCATAGAACCAACTCTTTTAGTTGAAACAGCTGGCTAAATTCTTTAATTCCCTTTAAATATGAATACTCATAAGGTTAACATAGGGAACTGCAGAGCCACTGGGGCGGAGCCCAAAAGGATTTTTGAGATAAGAATATGCCTATATGTTAATCGGGAATGTGAGCTATCATCATGCCAAATTTCAGCCCAATCCGACCAGTATTTTTCGTGTTTGAGTGAAAATTTAAAAACGTACGTTTTCATGTCCCTGGCCTTTTACTTCGTAGATACTGGATTTGTAGTTTATTATTATGTGTTTTAATATTTTTTGGGACGGGGGCAACATGTTACACACATTTATTTGGTTTTAAATAGGTTCTAGGTATTTTTTTCGTATTTTTAAAGTCTCTAAATTCACGACCATGACTTGTCCCTAGAGTACATTTTCCAACTTTCACGCTGTTTTTAGACTAATTATTCATTCCGAAATATATAAAGCCATATTTTTATGTCATCAATGGTTATTAAACTTACAAAAAAGGAGCATATTATAATTTTATTGTCATTGCAAACTGACTACCATGACAAAATAAGTCTGTCCCTCGATTTGGCATCACGACCATTTGGGAAAAATTTTCAACTTTGGAGCACGACAGTGGCAAGCCTGGCGTCGATGGAGTCAGTTGGTTTTAGAGACTAGTTCGGGGTGTACGTCAGGATTGTAGTGCCAGTCGTTTCGAGTTGAAAGGAGGATTTACAAGATTAATAAAGGAACGATTGTGTTTTTTGTAATTTTGGTGTGTCCATGACCGTTTACATGACCGCGTAGTCATTCGATGAAGTAGACATGGTGTTAATTTTTGTTGATAAGATATTTCAATTGCTAGATTAACCTAGAAGTCCACTTTGTATCCTCGAACATGAGGTGCAGGGCTACTGCCAGAACAAAGCCAAATAACACGTAATTTCACGACCAAAGTTTCACGACCAAAGTTTCACGACCATCGCGGGGTTTTTCACGACCAATCCAGCCTTATGGATTATAGTGTGTTTGGTCGTGACAATAACTTGAATATAATTGTAAATTGAACAGTTTAGTTCAGTTGAAACACATATTTTTACTATAACTAACAGTATAATTGAAGGATTGTTTGGAAATATTTAGATTATTTCAGAAAATTCACGACCGTACCGCATGTCCCTGACCATCACGTTTACTATTTCTATCATAAAAATTTCAAAAATTAAAATATCGTCATATTTCAGTGTTTTATACACAAAAGAAGCTTACCTCTATACAAACATAACGATTTTTCGGGTCTCAGGTAGGTTTTTCAGAGTTATACAAACTTAAAAAGATTTTATTGGCTTTTTCAATTTTTTGAGTTTTTTTATTTTTTTTTCTAGAAAGACTGAATGTACCAAAAGCTCAGTGACCTTTTTATTGTATAATGGTCATAAAAGTAAATTAGTTTATAGCAAAACATAGTTATAAAAATAATATTAACTATTTTTAATGTTCATTTAAACGTCTGTTATGGTCGTGACAGGATTTTGTGTTTTTCCACTAAAGATGCTCTTTAAAAAAAAACTACCAAAGATATTGCGTTACCAAGGACATATTATGAAACTTCAAATGTTAATGAAATAAAAAAAAATAATAAAAGATTTGAAAAAAGGGGGAAAAATTGCAAAGTGCATTTCCTGAAAACGTACGTTTTAAAATTTTCACTCGTTTACTTGTCACAAACATACATACATCCATACATCCAAACTTTCTCATTTGTAATATTAGTAGGATTGTATTGGTCAAATAAATAATTACTGTCGGGACCACGTAAGTTTGCAGTTGGTGGCAGCCAATCAATCACAAGACAAGGCTAGTGTGATGTTGCCACATCGCCCGTTGACAACACTAATTAAAATATACTATACAATATTTCAAATCAGCTGGTATTATTAGATTTGGCAACACCGCACGGTTCTCATTGGTTCATTCAAAATCATATGGTAAATAGGCTTCTCCCACAACTGCAAATTTACGTGGTCCCGACAATAAATAGTTTTGACAAGAAACAAAGTTACACAAGGTATCTCACTCAAATCTACCTTTTGATCAAATCAACTCAAATCATTGATTCGATTCAGTATCCAATAGTCAATGTTTCTACACCCTTTCCTTATTTGTAATACATTTTTATTAATATTTACTATACGTTTATTATCTTAGTCCACGTTTTTAATTAAATTGAAATATCTAAACTTAATACTTTAATACTTTTCAATGAAATGGCGACCATACAAAGTAGGTATTTTAAGCCAAGTATGAATGGAGATGAGTGTAGGATGAGTGACGCGATCTTGTAGTCTTGTTAGTGACTAAGGCCGACTCTTATTCCTTAGACACAGCTGTTAAAGCCCATACTGCTAATGGAAACTAAGGGATCTAATAGTGGAATCCGAACCACATTTTTGTCTTGGTATATACGAATGGGTCTAATTTACAGGATAGTACTTCGGATAGTCGTAGTACTCACTCGTGCGGACATTAATGATTTGTAAAAAAGAAACATAACAAAACTTTCCATACTACAGGCTTTGACTAGGCCTACAGGCTAAACAAACATTTGATAGCCATTTGACCTACTGACCAATGTTGGTTAGGTTAGGTTTACTATACCCAAACGTAAAGAAATTTTTTATTTTGTGCTAATTGTATTGAAAAACTACAGCAACGAATGGAATTAGGCAATATTAATTTGGTCATTAAAAATAACTCCTTGATCAGCATTGTACGTGTTATTAAATTTACGGAAAGTAAATAAAAGAAACGTCTTATAACACTTAAAACATATATTTACGCTTATACTGTTACTCACAAGACGGTAAATATACAAAAAAGATGGTAAGTGGTGATCGATTTCGATTGGACACTCCAATCATCATCAGACCTAATAGGCGAATCCGCCTATCCTTTATCCGCGAATCCTTTATCATTCGCCTATTGGGTCTGATGATGATTGGAGTGTCCAATCGAAATCGATCACCACTTACCATCTTTTTTGTATATTTACCGTCTTGTGAGAAACAGTATAAGCGTAAATATATGTTTTAAGTGTTATAAGACGTTTCTTTTATTTACTTTCCGTCATTAAAAAGACACTTTAACTCCATTTAACATGGTATTCTATTAAAATAACAAAACTGAGACACTTTACTCGTTTATAATTTAATAGTACAGCACATATTAATTCATGGACAGCAAAACTTAAGTGTTAGGTATTTCATGTTCTTCCGGTGTCTCATTATAGTCTAGACAATGAAGTCAAAAAACCAAATAGGGGAAAATTAATAAGCCAAATTTGGTGTGGGAAAAGGGTCCTTATATACAACATACGAAAAGTACTGACTGCTAGGGTGGGGCTAAGGATGGTAGGGGCTCTAAAGGCCCCTTTTTAAGTTTTTAAAAGTGTTAAAAATTAAAAGTGTGTCATGATTAAGAATGATCAACATAAAATTGTCTACAAAAAATGTTTTATGCACCTATTTGCTAGGATTGTTATTTATAGAGATTTGAAGGGGTGAAAATTGGGTGTAAATATTATACAGCCGCTTGTGTATTTCACTAACAGAGGATGCAAATTCTTATAATGTTTTAATTTAATGTACTTATTGAGAATTGAAATTTAGTACAGTTCTCGGTCTTGATCCAAAACCTCGAGAGCATTCTAAAAAAAATTTGATATTCAAATGGACAGCAAAAGCAGCAGCTATTTGTTTACAATCTTTAATTTTGTAATGAAACTTGTCCGTATTTCTTTTTTTTACTTTGATGAAGGGATACATTTTACAAAAAATTGTAAACTTTATAAACTGTTTATGTTTTTTTAAATGTTTTCTACAAGTGGTTATTTTAAAAAAAGTCACCTTTAAGCCAATAATGACATAAAAATAATAAAACTGTGGCCTAGTTTAAAACATCTTTCTTTACAATCAAGGTCTGTTATATATCGATTTTCTATAATAACCTAATAATGGCTCCAAAACTAAAATTTTAATTGAAAAGACACAAAATATATGTTTAGAAATTTCAATTATTTATGACTGGCATGAAATGTTAAATGTTTGTCAAAGCAAAATTCTTTGTTAGAAAATAATTTCTGGTGACTGTAAATTCATCCGGACAATTATCCATCACGATCAGTAAAACAAGTTTTCTACCGGTACGACATTTGAGGGGGTTAAATCTTGTTATGTTTCCGGATAGTAGTATGTTTTCTGTGCCTGAGGTCAGGATCAGGTTCATCGCAAAATTCTTTGTTTTTTATTAACAAAATACAGTATGTGATGGAATATGTTTGGAAAAATCCCAAGAAAGCAAGGTTCTTGTTGTCAACATCTTAACCCTTCAGTTGTCAACTAATCTCTTCAACTAAAGTAAGCCAACATGCGCAGGAAGTAAAAAATACAACATACCTAAAAAATAGTTTATTACAATTATCACTTTTCACATGAACACCAGGGTCATTTTCTGTACAAAATGAGGATGAAGATCGATAAATAGTTGAACAATGGGTATAAATTATTACGGACAGTAATTTCAATTGGATAATTTTACAAGACAATTTTCAGAAGGAAGAGGGAAACACTTTGGTTGATTTAAAGTCGGATACCGCGGTTGGTGCTGGCGACATAGTTCAGCAGCTCCTCGCTGTCCTCACAGATGAATGGCTTCTCGTGGTAGCAAGCAACATCGTGCCATGCGATCCCGTCGTTGTAAACGTTGTTGAGCACGGACAGACAAGATTCGTTGGTTCCGTTGATGTCGAACTCAGCGTTGTCGGGTTGCCTCGTCTTCTTGTGTCCGGTAGAACTCCACGCGTTGTAGCCCCAGCCGGGAGGTATCTGGGTGGTGGGGGCCATGCGCACCCTGGTGGCTGACCAGAACCAACCGTTGATGTTCTTGGGCTCCAAGTCTTTCCGACCCTCGCAACCCTTGAAGTCACATAGACGTCCGCTCGTCCAGATGTAGGGCACGTCGTCTAGAACAACCAGGAATCATTATTATTGCATTATTACTACATTAGTATTATTACACTGAGGTGGGGCCAATTTAACTATATTATCCTAACATATCATCCTACTATATGACTTCCTATATTGAAGCGGTTGGATATCAGGAGAAGCCACTGTCATCGCTGAATGGAATTTAGTTTTTAATTTTTATTGCTGTTTAGATGGTCTTCTTGTGTGATAAATCTACATCATATTACTAGCATTACAATTCACATCGTATAAACTTACAGTATAAAATATTACTAGTGTACCTCTTGCTCGAATTCGAGCAATTGCAAAGTATTACAGGAATTATTTTAAAACGAATAACAGTCATAATTTCCGATGACTTTAAAAGAGTTGATTCAAAGATTACAGAAATACTCAAGATGTGCATAACAGTTCGATATAATCAAAATTTCTTATAAATATTATCATTTTCAAAAGCTCATCTTGTTTTTTAATGTTTTCTACAAATGTTTCCCACTCATAGCCGCATTAGGTTGTCCATAATAACGATTATAAATATAAAAAAAAATTATCCCCATTTCTTCTACTTGGTGGTTTTCAATGACTTTCCTATGTTTCCATAGTTTACAAATCGGTTCTTTCAATGATTGCTCAAGAAATGCAGCAGAGTGTTAATTCAGTTGTAGTATATCAAATTGTCCAGGCTTTCTCGCTTTTTTCTATTGTAATATTTACGCAAACCCAATTTCAAATAGTATTGAAATATTTCATTTCAACCAAGTGAGGAAATGTTTGTAGCACACGTATCCTTAAATTGTAACTAAAATATTAACATAAATTAAATTATCCAGCTCATCAAAATATAAACAAATAGGCCTATGCTCTTCATAAGGATAACATGGGAACTTTAAAAGCCAATGGGGCAGAGACCAAGGGACCTTTTCAAAAATGTAAAGTCAGTTTGCAAATCTACACACCTAGACCAAACATTTTGGTATATAATATGTGGTGTTAAATCTTAAAACAAAAAAGCCTTATTGTTCACAAAGTTTCATGTAGCCTATTAATAATATAGATAGATTCTTTCCAACCCACTGTGGAGAAGCATGACTAATTATAGTAAAATATGTAGTTTCCATAATCAACGGTTTTACCTGAAGTGACAGAGAAATCTACAGTATATACAGGGTGCGGCAAAAGTCAGTATACCGAAAAAGCAGTTAAACTGTAGCTAGCATTAAACATAACTATAAAAGTATAATTTTAATGTGCCTGTTAGAGAAGCTGCTCAAAGTGACCACCATCATTGTCTATACACTTGTAGCACCTTTTCAACACTGACTTACAGATTTTGTTGCATAGTTGTGGTGTGAATAAAACATCAAAATGTTTTGTTATTAATTCTTTTAAATGTTCTAAACTTTGAGGTTTCTCCGAAAACACGTGTTCTTTTAACAAACGTCACATACTGAAGTCGCACGGAGTTAGGTCTGGGGACCTAGCAGGCCACTCAATAGTTCCTCTACGTCCTATCCATTCATCGAAGTTATCATTTAAAAATGCTCGAACATTTAGGCCATAGTGTGGAGGTGCTCCGTCTTGCTGCCAAATAATCGAACGACGACGCAACTGTTCAAAAGTGGGACTGTTTTCCAACTTTAAGAACACATCTAAAATCCGTATAATCACGATCGAATTTCCACCAATTTAAAAAAAAAAACTCGTTGCTCTAAAGTTAGTTTACGATTCATGATTAAAAACACCAATAATAGAAGTTAATAATACAAGCACTACACTCACCAACTTAACTTCACTGTCACTAGTGGCATACTAACAAAACAAACATTCATCGATAAAGAATAAACAAAGACAAAATCAACCACGACTAGACGTCAGATTAGATAAGGAATAACACTGAGATAATAATAGCGCCAGAGATAAACAATGACGCTCACCGGCCTGCAGTGGTATACTGACTTTTGCCGCACCCGTATATATGATATATATATATATATGATATATATATATATATGACCCGTATATATGACTGGGACGGGTGGCGTCGTCCTGTAATCCAGCTACTGGGAGGTCACGAATTGTGGATATTTATAGGGATGCACTGTGGATGCGATGCTCCCTGGTGTGGATTAACGTCCGCACTAGTGAGTACTACGACTATCCGCAGTATTATCCTGATAATTAGACCAATTCGTAAATTACAAGGAAAAATGTGGTTCGGATTCCACTATAAACTGTAGGTCCCTTAGTTGCCATTAGCTGTATGGGCTATTAATTAACAGCTGTGTCTAAGGAACATGTCGGCCTTAGTCACTAACAAGACTACAAGATCGCGCCACTCATCCTACACTCATCCTTCACTCATATTTGGGTTAAAATACGCACATAGTGGCGTCCCCATCTTAAATAATTGAATTGAATATATAAAGCTAAGTAAGAATGAATTGGACTTTTGAGAAAACCATAAGCCGTACACCTACCAAATGCATACTTGAATGAATGGTCTTTATGTGAAACTTCCCTGTAAAATATCAGTTTTTCGATAAACCCTCTCCTAAGGGTACGAACCTCGATAAAAGGGCAGTAATCACGTTGAAGATACATAATCAGCTGTTAGATTTGTTTTTGTTTTTGAGTTAACTTTTTAATTCTAATTATAGATGTTTATATTACGATGAAGTTCTTAGTTTTGATCCTACATTACGATAAAGTTATTAGTTTCGATTTTGCCACACAGTTTAATTATGACAAATACAAAAGAGATGTTCATTAAAATAAGCAATAAGACGATTTTGATTTGCCAGTATAATTTGCATGGTGAGTGTGTGTAACTCTAGCTTTTTTACAGTAGATTTAGAGAGCCACATTATAGACTAACCAATTGTTTTATCTATGGCCACATTCTGTCAAGTACTCTTGCCCCGTTGCGAAGCACGGGCTAGTATTTAACTTAGATTTACAATGTCCTAATTCATGTAATTGGATTAATAATCAGCTGTTTTTGCAAGCTCAGGTTAATTAGTTCACACATTTAAGTCAACTGTTTTAGTACCTCTAACACGGTTGGTGTTTTTGACCTCTGGGGTCCTCAAAACGAAAAAGTAAATCGGTCCAGGTTCTAGGGGTTACCATGAGACCTACGGTAATAGCTTATTCCCTATATGGGAAATTCGCTAAAAAATGGCACACTCGCCAACCACTGGTCAGTGGTCAATGTCGGTAAAAATCCGGGGTACTGCATTCATAGTGGTGTATGTCACTAAATAAACGCTTGTACATTGGATTGTTATAATATATTGGCCATTTTTACCGAACGTCCAAAATAGAGTGTGTTCCTTACATTTATGATACCTACTTTGACAATTGAGGTTGCATAAACAATTCTACAGTTCAACAAGTTGTCATTTCATTTTGGCTTGTTTAAAGAGTGAGTGTATTCAACATAAATCAGAGTATTCAACATCAAGCTGACTGATAGGCGCTCAATTCAACTATGTTCATTTCATTCTAAAACTAGATACAATTTTAAAATTTGAATTGGACGTTTTCTCCAAACCAAAGATGTGACATTCTCTACACTCTACAGCTTTATATTACAAAATAGTCCTTACTCTGCTGTATCAGTCGGAACACAAGATTGTTCTCTTCTTGGTTCTCCATGGAGACGAGGTCCATGCAGTATTCTCTACAGATATTACGGGCGTCTAACCAGTCCACCTTGGTGTTGCGATACTGCGGCAGATGCCCACTAAAGAAGTAGTTGTGTCCATTGTAGAAGAACTCTTTTGGTCCTGAAAAAAACGTGTCAATAAATTAGGTATGGTTTGTAAAATGTTGTCTCGAATGGTTAATTTGCTAGTTCACATGAAAATACCTTAAAATTATTACTCGTAACAAATCACTCATACAGTATTTTCTTATGAATATCACTGAGTTTGATAAAAAACAGGTTTAGTGTTGACCAAATTCAGCTGTGTGGTGGCGTTGTATGAATAAATTTTCTAAGAAAATTTTTTACTACACTTATTGGTGCAAAAAGTTATTTAATTTGTCAACTCTTAGACTATGGATGGTGGATAGGCTTTGCCACGTTTAGCATTTATTTTACATGTATTTCTTATGGAGGGAGAATTTGAATAATGTATTTATTATATCTTGAAAATGGTTGAACCGATATAGTTACTGTACATCATATACTTTTCTTTTAGGTAATTTAATCTTCTTAAATTTCCTAATCATCTATTAAAATATATTAAGTTTTTATTGAAAAAAAGAACGAATCTTCGAATCTTTAAATGAGCCTGCACTATGGGTGGGATTCATTTTGTAGTTTTTTTACTACCTAAGGCAAAATCATTTAGCTAGACAGCTATGAATATTAAGAATGATGGTGAAGAGAAATTAGATTTAAATATATTTTAAATGAAAGTCAAATATACCTATTGTCCATTCCTAAAGATGTACTTTTTTTGTAAATCAACAATGCAATTCATTAGTAAGGTAATTTACATGACAATGCTTTAAGAGCTAGTAAACCATATTAATAAAGGTTGAAAATCGACTTTTGTATTTAAGAGACAAATTCAAAATTGTAAAGTCAAATTTAAATAGCCTACCTTCGTAACTTTGTCTATAAACAAACCCTTGGTACGAGTATTATGTTTACCTAGAAAATTAATAGCAATGCTAAGTGATTTAAATCAACGCTCCTTCTGATTTAAGCGACGCAATTTACACGCAGTAGCTGGATTGCCGATATACCCTTTGAAGGCGTCTAAACGAAACCTGCTGTTGATAAAACCCGTTGATATTTTCTAAGAAAATGAGATATGAACATTAAACGATATGAACAATAATTCTAAAGATATCTTTTATTTTAAATTGCTTTAACGTTATAATATTTTTGAGTTGGTTATAGCCTACACAATCTGGTTAATTGAGTTAATAATGTGTTGTACAATTACAAGCTAAGATTCCGCTCGCACCTTTCGTTAAAACAACTTGGCTTAAGGCCCAATTGAATATTTATTTTTCCGATTTTAAAAACTGTCATTAGATCTATACAAAATTTAATTTCTTTTGAAACTTATTTTCCGTATATCTGACTATAGACTTTGGATACTGTAATTATACATATCCCATCTATTTGGACCAACTGTATAGGTTTTTTTTTACCAAAACAGAAGAATGAAGTTGGCCAGAGTGTGATGCTGTAAAAATAAGCTGTCTTGTTTTCTTTCATTAGAGTAGCTGCTATGGTATAAGCCGTGAAAGACTATATCGTTTGTTAAAATAGGTCGTCCTTCCACTTTGGATCGGGTTGAACATAGGTGAGTTCGATAGAACAACACTTAATCGGAAGTTTTATTCAACAAAGATTTTTAAATTTTTTTTAAATGAATACAGCTTTAACATGGCAAGGGGATGGGATGTACACTTCAAACCACAATAAAAGTTCCGACCTACGTCAAATATAATTTTGAAGGTACAATTTTCATATTGCCTTCAGATTATAATTGTGAATAACGCGGGATTTTGTGTTTCGTTTTTGGCGAATATCTATATGTGAAGTCAAAAGTACCCATGAACTTTTGAGAAAACTACAAGTCACACCCCCATAAACCATATACTTAAAATGTTCGTCATGACGAGAAACCTTGCGCAAAATTATTCATTATTTCATAAACTGCCCTATAAGGTCGTAATTGCTTTCCAAAGGGAACTTTCCAGTTACCTAATGTTAAAAATACCTCAGCTGTTATTATTTGTTTGCATTACCATTACTGTATTCTGTTTTGTTTATTTAATCTTAACTTAACCAATCAATAGTTTTATTAATACTAATGTAGTAAAACGGGGTGGAGCCCGTGGGTAACAGCTAGTTGACTGTAATTGTCGTTATGTCAGTGGCAATCAAATAAAAAAAATAAAAAAGACAGATTAAGAGACAAACAAGAAGATAAACTTTCATACTAGTGCTTAACATTTATAAAATAAAATTAAAGTTGCATTGTAAACCTGTAATTTCCCTTCGTGACCTTAAACAATTTCTTCATTAACTGTGCCTTTAATCTTGTTTATGTTTTGTGTTATGAGGATTTTTATAATAACATAAAATTCAGACGAATATCTAAATGCGTGGACTGTATGGTTAAAGTCTAGAACTGTTTTGCAATTTGCAATTACTGTACTCTTGACGAAGTAGGAAACCTAATCCTTGAAGTCAAATTAATTAGCCTCGAACAGTGAGGAGAGAACTGTCCGTCACCAAGTCTGTTATTAGCCTCTATCCAGGCGCCTCTTACATTAATGTGCCTCCAAATCTCGTCGCCTCTCGGGAATGTTAGGAAAGCATTGTCAGACTGGGATTAGCCATTAGAGTTGATTTTCGTGAAGCAACTGCTGGATGTCTGGTCCGGGTAAACCAATGGTTATACTGTGCGAGTGTTTGGGTGTGTGTAGGTGTGTGTGCGCGCGTATGTGTGTGTGTCACTATCTAGTTAACCCACCTGTCTCGACTGTTATGCAAACCAAGTGTTTCTCTTACATCATTGTCACCACAGTCTTCTTTACACATTCTACTCTACAGTCTGGACACTTTTGGAATTACAAAAGAGAATAGGAAGTTTGTGGTTTTACTGTGGGAGGTGGATTCACCATACGAATGTGTCGAGGTTGAGATAAATACAGGCTAGGCAGCTAAGTGGTTATCTCGTCTGACAATCAAAAGTTCTCCGGTTCGATTTTGGGAGTAGTCAGCGATGCACTTCATTTTACACTTATCTTGTATTCACTTTAAGCTTACAAAGCATCTGGATGGCGTTGTTGTGTTTGAAACACATAATTATTTTGCAACAATATTAAAAGTAGTGGGAAAATATATTTATAAGTTAGTTGACAACCAACTATTGCGATTAATACTAAATTGATGTGCAGAGCAAATATCCTTCTCTCTGAGTTTTTTTCGACGGATTTTAAAATTATTATTCTACCTACAACAGGGTGACAATTAAGTCTGGAACCTCTTTTTTAAATTTTTAACCCAGAATAGAAAAAAAACATACCAAAGTTCACACGTGCTTACTGGTGATAGTTAACGCATACATCTGCCCCGGATAAACCCTTTGGGGGACGGTCCACAAGGAGTCAGACAAAATTCTTAAATATCAGCATAGGTCAAGTTTGGTATCAAATTAAAGGCCTTCGTTGGTAAAATACAATGCTACAAACCCGAACTCAAACGGACAACGGAGTCAAAAATGACAGCTGTTCAAATATTCCTTGAATTTGCAATGCTTTATACATACTGCGAGGCGCCCGCTAGGAGTTGGATGAAAATCATAAACGTAATCAAAGGTCGATATGAACATCGCATTAAAGGTCTTAATTAGTAGAATACAACGACACAAATAATAGCTCAAAATATCAGCTGGTTTAAAAATGGCAGCCGTTCAAAGATTCAAAATGGCAGATTAAACGAAATATTTGAACGGCTGCCATTTTTGACTTGGTTGTCCGTTTGAGTTCGGATTTGTGGCATTGTATTTTACTAACGGAGATCTTTAATTTGATACCAAGCTCGACCTATGTTTCTATTTAAGAATTTTGTCTGACTCCTTGTGTTCCCAAAGGGGTTATCCGGTCGGTAATTGGACATATGTGTGCGTTACTATCACCAGTGAGCACGTGTGAACTTTGGTATTTTTCTTTTGTAGTTTAAACATTAGAAAAAATAGGTTCCAAACTTAATTGTCACCCTGTATTTACATAAGTGCGGAATGGTGTGAGATGCCTTGTTACTAAGGCATCTGCTGTTAATTTAGCCAGAACCATTTATTGAAACCGTAATGATTAAGGAAAGCTGGGCCCGTTTATAAAAATCAAAAAAAGCCTCTTTTCTCAGCATTGAGCCTATAGATTAACGTTGGTTGAGTTATTACATTTAATCTGTGGAATATAATGAAAATGGATTACCCACACTACTGTTAAAAACACTATTTATTATTGTGTATTTAAGTAAATACTTTCGTTGGAAAATGTACATTATACAAATTGCAAGAAACTCTTTTGATTTCCAACTACAGCAAGTGTGCAAAGGTCACCGACATGTCTACTGTCAGATTAAAAGTTCGTGCGCACCAACAGCCGCCGTTTCGACACTGTTGCACAGACCTTGCGCACGGCTAGGTGCTCGTTGCTCGCTGCGCACTAGTTGCTCACAATAAGTCACCTTAGCGTGCTCGCTTAACGAGCGAGCAAATGTCAGCATCGTTAGTATAATTTATATTGTATGTTTATATTTGATGTCCCTTTGCATAAATGAATTGTCATCCTAGTTGAAAATGTCAGCTTTGTTGTAGCTGTATTGTTCGTCGTCTAACGCTAAGTTTGTCAAGTCTATTTATGGATTTTATTACTTATATAATACAATCTTCACGAGCAAGTACAACAATGTATTTGTAGCTTGCTGTTTTTCTCTAACATTATAAGAAACGATTATACACTTTGTCAAATTTACCCTAAACAAAAGATACAATTTTAGGCTATATCAACCATCTCAGGCGATACTGAACTTCAAACACATTCAAAAATGAATTCAAGAATTTACAATAACCTTCTTGAAGTATCTCAAGTATTGAATAAACCTTCTTGGTCATTGATATCCATGAATACATTAATCCTGAACTTGTAACGATGAGTTATGGGATTAAATTAATAATACAGATTTGTTTTATATATAAAGACGCTTTGCCTTGAAGGGCAATAATTGCATATTATATTTGCACACTTT